AGCTACTAATAGTCACTTTAATTGCTTTTACTACTATGAAAAGCACACTGTAATTGACATTAGGCTCTTTTAACCAAGAAGATTATTATATTTAGTACAGATTACGAGTATTTACTTAGAAGTCAGAGCATAATAACAGAGTAAAAAAATACTCTCATTAAGTTACGTAATTTATAGGTACTAAAATGCTATAACAACCATTTGTCGTGTTGAATTATGTAATTAATAAGATGCGATGGCGATTCGATTCTTTTTGAATTCTACTTTACTTGTTTATAACTGTTATTGTTATAAATAAGAGAGTAGAAAAAAGTGCCGTCAATTTCTTACTGCGTTGTTGTGCTTGTTCATTGTGCTATTTAGTAGAGACGCAAGCACAGCGGGGTGCTGCCATTTGACTTTGAAGAATGACACCTACGATCAAACTTTACCGTGTTAAATTCGTTAGAAAATAATATGAATACGGACTAAAATGTTATAAGACCATAAAATAACTCTACACCTACGAACGACATACGACTACGTACAGGCGAATTACTTAGGTAGAGCTAGAGAATCGATCCAGTCGACCTCTCCTTTTAGGACATATTGTATTCTATTTAATATTCTTGTAAACAAAAGTCTGTAATCTTCCAATTTGACATTATTTATTATTGATATAAAGCTAAAATTTGTATTTCTTATAAATAGGTACATACATAAGTATGTTACTAAATTCCCTAAGATTATTAATACGGAGCATAATGAGTGCATGCAATGAGTTTGATCATTAACGTAAATGGGAGCGATATTAATGCTTGCTGCTATAAAAGATCAATACAGGACTAAGACAGTGTAAACCACTGTATTACCAGCAGGTTTTATTGTAGCCGATTATGCGCTGCAGCAGTGCAACAACTAGGTATAACGGCTGCAGCAATCGGCAATAATGTAATAACCATTACACAGTTGTGCAACAGGAAGATAGTAACAGGATTACTGCACAGATAAATTAATGGAAAACCATCTGTTGGTAGTTACAAGATACGGAATTTGTAATCTGTTTTCGTGTAGTGGATAATAAAGTTAGTATTCAAGTTTTTATTGCAAACTAGCTTTCCGCCCGCGGCTTCGCCCGCGTCGAATTTTGTCTGTCACAGAAAAACAATATCGCGCGCGTATTTGCTCACCGTTTAGACCTACCCTGGACTACGACAAACATTTTAATACCAATATCAGCTCAATCGGCCCAGCCGTTCTCGAGTTTTAATCAGACTAACGAACATCAATTCATTTTATTTATATAGATATGTATATTATTAAGCAGGTAAAAGATGTTTTCCAGTAGGTACGTACTACAACACCGGACGTGCCAAGACATCAAATAAATACCCAAAGTACATACCTAAACCCAAAATAAATAAGTTAATACCTCTAGATCCTACAGTCACGATACCAAAAAAGAATATAATAACGCCGAGTCAGCTAAACAAAATAGCTGCGGATAGCCTGAAACCAAGTGTGGGTAGACTCTTAAATGGCAGACTTAAATATGGCCACAGGTCCGTTACCCGAAAACAAAAACGGCAAAAGGCAAGAATATAGGGAAATCGGTAGTGATATTACTGCTAGGTGGGTGTTAGATGCGATTTTGGTATGATAAAGTTTCTGCAGAAAGCTCGGTAGCGGGTCGCCGACCCGAGCTCGGGGCAGGACTCCGACCGGCGCCCGCGCCGACCTACTTCGCGACACGACACCTACCGGATCTAACGTGGTACCTATCGCTTAGGTTGATCTGCCTGCCACGACGATAGCAACATTGCAACTACCTGTAATGCACGTTAAAAACAGATAATAAATAATGCCATGCAAGTCTACTCCTAAAATAGACTCTACCCACTTTATTTGCTGTCTCGGTTCTCATGTTGTTTTATCTGCTAATGACGGAAGTGCGGTTGATCTTGCAAATTAGCTTATACCTCTAAATACCTGACCTCTCCAATGCTCGGGTACTGTACTGACGGCGATTCGAGAATAGCATAATTTCTTTCTTGGTAGAGCACTTTCACTTTTATAATAAATCTTCCGTTTCAAAGTGTCCAAATCAGCTGTAGATCATCTTCATCAGTGACGGAAATATAATCAATTTTTATAGTTATATCTACTGGCTGATAAAAATGTAGACATTATTAAATATGGTATATGAACGCGTCGTGAATGGAGATCAATCCATCATCTTATTAATGAAACAGGCAAAGTTAAGATTTTTAATAGTGCTAAGATTTTTGACAGTATTCTCCAATGATAACCTTATCTAAAATGCAATTATGATCAGTTAATTATCGCCTCGTCTAGCCAAACCTGTTCAGTGAAAGCAAATTTCACACATGGCCCATTTAGCACGTAACAAGAGCAAATCGAGCACGCGTTTTGGCGTGACATCTTGTGCATCTTCCGCTCATTAGTTGAGTGCGATTTATGAAGCACTTTGTTTAGAGAAAATATCGATGAGGTTGTCAGAGCGGTTATTAGAGCGACTAAGCCGAAGCGGGATAAGCGAGACCATGGCTACCGTTAGTGTACGTACAAGCTAATGCCGACCGCGAATGTTGCACCGGTGATGACAAGTTCAGTATGGACATGCGATGTGAATAAAACAAAAAAGGGTACCTACCGAATATTCTTGAGATGTAACTCTACTAAGGTACTTAATTATTATAATGTAACGTCTCTTGACTTGACAAGCAGGCGTGTTTCAAATTGATTCATCCGCGGCAAACGACTCTATTATAGGTAGTAATAACACATGTCAAGAAGTCATTATTTAACCATGAACGCGCGCTTCACTCCTTATATTACAGAAATGGTGTACTAACGACATAGTCTGCATGCATGGAGACGTTTTTGCTGTCGTTTGCTGTAGACATCATGGGTAATCCATCAACTAGGTAGTGGAACGTTATAGTAAAGTTAACCGTAACATGTCTATGATTTAGCCTTGTTTTCTACCTGGGGCAATCGGAGCCCTTGTTATGTGCCTAGTACCTATACGTGACTCTACATCTACACCAATCTACACCAGTTTTATTCAACGTCGTAGCTCCGGTCCTGGAATCTAACGACATGTAGCTAGGATCGTAACAATAACGCTCAGTGTTACATGTTCAAATAGTGCCCAAAAGTAAAAGAAACAACCTCGCTCGTTACGAATCTATAGCCTCCGACGACGACCTAGATACAAACTGTTTTACAATTTGGTAACGATCAAACCGAATCCATGTCATGTAAACAATGAAAATAATACAGATCTTTGATATCGACGACAACATGAATAGATCTAGGTAATGTTGTATCGGTACCGATTGTTCCGCTGTGCAGTTAATTTGACCGAAGCTATCTCAGCGATTGGCGAGATAAGCTCTGCAGATGGGCTTGCGTTCCCGCTGCGGTTACGATCCGTGACACAGATAACGTAAGTTTAACGTTTCCTGGCAGCCTTAAATATGTCACAGACTCGAAGTATGTTCTATTGAGCATGCTAATGATGCCATTTATTCCTCGAGTATAGTGAATATTATGTAAAGAGCGCTATAGAGCACGTAATTGGTCTGCTCAAGAATAGAGGGATGCGCGTGACGACCGCGCTGATGTGGATTACGAGAGCCGTTAGGGTTATGGCAGTGAATGCGGCGATGTGGGAAAAGTGTGAAATATTGATAGTTTGCGGTAACCGAGCATTGTTGGGGCCGGACGGCTGCGTACCGCGCGAGCGTGCGACAGATTCCACGGCTCCCGTTACTAATGCATTTATTTTGCCTTTGAATACGTAAGTGCTCCGCGGCTCGAACATTGCATACAGCCATGGAACGCATGGTTCGTTTAAGAAAGTACATTATGTATGCCATAAATAAACACCCGAAGACTCTACCTATAGCATGAACCCAAAGGATCATTTATATTCAGTTAACCATCCATAATTAACATCGTAATCGAATATCTAAGTAATTCGCAGGTAATTGAAACTTAAAATAATGTTATGTAGACCATCCCTACCACAGAATTATAAATTATTTTCTACAATTACAAAGAAACAACTCAATTTACGTAGTTAGCGTAACAATATTGTCCATTGATTAATTAGATTTTCATTTCATAATTTTGCGAAAGTGAGTCTTTTTCAATTATTCTTCTACGAGTATAAAAACAAGCATAAAAGCAATCTTTTCGGAAATCAAGCGATGTTACGCACGCGCCCATGACGTCTTCATCGGCTGTTTCAATCAAAGTGCTTTTTTTAAATTCAGAGAATGGACCTCGAAAAAGTTTAAGTAGAGTAGGAAAGTGTTGAAACGAGAATGCAATTAAAACTAAATATCAGTATGCATTTATGTACACATGCACGCGAGTGTACTTATTTTCAAGTCGTTTGGTGCCAAACGTGAGTTTTGAAAGAGCTATTAACTTTATTGTTCTAAAATTTTACGTTATTTTGGAAACTTTTACGTTTGACCAAGTTTAGGTGCATGAGACGTGACTTTTTCATAGATGTTTGAAATAAAACGTTAGCTATTTATGTGGGCTAAGAGGACAGTAACAAAGATTTAACCATAACTTACTACTAAATTACTAAGTTTGATAATAGTATGATCATGTTCTCACTTATGGTATGTGAGTATACCTAACTTAATTAAACTTAATTAAACATTAATTATCTTTCGGCTGAAACTAACGAAACATTAATTAGGTAGGTACAATTTTTATCATTTTGTGTGCTTATGTCACCCAGTCATTCTCATAAAAAAATAATAATATTGCTCTACATTATTACCTTACAACAATTTAGGTGTGTGATCTTGTAAATCAAAATTATTAAACCCCTTCTTTATAAACGAAGATACTACTAAATATTTTTAATAGTTACTTTTAGTAATAAAATATAAAGAAAAATATTTTTAAAACATAAATAGTATTTTTAACTATTACATCAATAGAATGTTTTTTAAACTTTTGATTTNTTGCCTTCGCAGCCATTTTGCAGGAATCTAATTAGACTTTCAATTAAAGGGGCAACGTTGGACGGTGATTTGAGATTACACTGAGAAAAAACATTAATCAAGGTCATTATAAGGCTAGATAAATTTGTTGTTGAGTCTTCTTTAGGTTGGTTATTGATAGCACATCCATCCCTTGGGGAAGGGAAAGAGTAGTCACGGATTAAATTATTATGGGCTACCTTATCATAGCCTTTTGAATGTGAAGGAGAGGGACGAGGTGGAAGGAAGACAGTCTTTTTGTAAGAACTTGAGGTTGACTTTGAGGAACCAGAATTAGTATTATAGTAAGGCATATTTTTAATAGGTGTACTTTGTTTTACAGGACTAGAGGACAGAGCGTCTGCGTAGGACTTGGAGACTGGAGGGTGGAGCTTGGATGCCTCTGCATACGAGATGGAATTTTCAGCCATATAAGCCTTGATTTTCTTTTGGCGGACAAATTCTGGGCATGACTTACTAGTTGCATAGTGGAAACCAGAACAAAGACAGCAGGAGGCTTGGTCTTCATGGATGGAGCAAGAATCACCAATGTGGGCTTGCCCACATTTAAAACAGCGGGGCTGGGACCTACATTGGGCCTTAGTATGACCAAATCGGCAACAATTAAAACATTGAATTGTAGGGAAAATGTACAATTCCACTGACAAAGCATTATAGCATACAAAAACTCGTTTAGGTAAAGATTGTCCGTCAAATGTTACTACGACTGATTGGGATGGTTTCCAAGAAACTGTACCATTAATATAAGACTTAAAATTCAATCTGCGAACTTTTATTATTTTGCCACCACCTAATGGAACTGTCATGTTTTCTACGACTTCCTCAGGGGACCATTCTGCTGGAACTCCTCGAACTAGTCCCATCCTAGTAACGTTAAATGTGGGGATAAAAGCCTTATAATCATTGGAGTCCAGTTTAGGATGACTCATAAATGAATTAGCTTGAGAGAAATCTGAAAATGAGACTGAACATTTGTTTCGTCCAATTCTCTTTACACTTCCATCAATAATGTTGTGAAAGTTATGTCTCTTTAGAAAGTTCCCAAAAGTCACCGGATGCAAATAAACGTTGTCACTGGGAGACGATTGATTGCGTTGGACATGGACAATGTATGGAGCCGTATCAGAGTCATTGTAGAATTTCCGTCCAATAGTGGCGGGAGCAGAGCCCGAATTTGGCAAATCCTGGTCAATTGGAGTGGGAGTAGGAGGATCTACTGAAGGAGTTTTATCATCAGCGTTACTCGTACGACCATCAACCTTTTTCTTTTCCTGTCCATGAAGTTTTCTTTTCTTGTGGCTACGTTTGAGAGCGGGGGGAGCAGTAAATGAATTTTCGGAATCTGTATCATTAGTTACCGTCACATAAAAACTTTTGATTTGATTTTATTATATCTTTTAAAAAAAGAAAAAATGCTTACCATCGTCTGAATCCATTTCAGAGATCGGGGATACGGTTGTTATTCGGAAAATAACTCCAATTACGAATAAATTCGCGCGGCAAATCATCATGCCCTAGTTCCGTTACAAGTAATTTGCATTCGGGTTGAAATATTTTTTAAAGTCACCGTTATTTTCAAAATATATTTTTGCGATAGTTTTCGCGGCGAGCCGACGCGCCCTCGAGAACAGCGACGTGCGCGGGCGCCACTCGGTTGCTGAACGACTAACTAACCGATACGCCCGTCGCGAACGGAGACAACGCTTTTGGACAGGCACAGTTATTATGCGGCCTCCGTTCGCTGTTGGAAGGATTTTGTAGGAATTCAATATAACACGAATAAGCCCGTAGAAGTACGAGTCATAACTATACTTAATAATAAAGAGATCCANTCAAAAGAGATCCTAACAGAATAGAAATAGTTTTCAGTAACTCATTATTATGTCCTGAAAAACATTTCGAAATTATCCGCTACTCTTGTTGGTAACTGCACCCGTGCCTTTAACAATCTACTACCAAACAGAAAATACCTAATTTATCTTAAAAACAGCGATTTTATTAATGGGTTCAACTCCATAGGTTGTCTGGAAGAGATCGCTTCATAGTGATTAGACCTCCTAAATTTTACTGTCCGTGTGTTTCTTTTTTTGTTCTTGTTTTTGTTGTGCTGTACAATAAATAGTTCTATTATTAATATGGAATATGAATAAGTAACTAATAGGTACTTACATAGTACTAGCTAACATAGCCGACTAAGTACCTAGTTAATTTACTTCTATAACATCAGACGACTCTACATCGATCGATGCATTTGCCATTGCGTGTTAGGAACTCTTTGTGCAGTGTGTTAGATCTTTATTCCATGCGTACAAAAAGCTACTAAATTTCCACGCGGAGGAAAATTAATTGTCCTAATGTTTATAAAATTCCAAAAGTAAATCCTGTCGCGCGAGCATAGATTACCCAGAAACACTCGTGTTCACACGAATCATGAAGGCTGTAGAGTTGGTATATAAACAGAGACAGGCTAGAATACAAATAAACAAATAGCGGACTTATAGGTACATTTTTATTTTAACGCATGCGCAAAGGCGACTGGGAAGCTCGCGTTGCGCACTCTACGTGCCCTCCGCTCCGCCCGAAACATCGGCACCACACGTTCCGACACCGAACAAAACTAAATTGGTGTCATGAATAAAAACAATAATAGATAGCATTAAAATTATCACCACATTCACCATGGGCAACCAGCTTACAAACGAAGCTTACGTATTCGCCTTCAAAACCTTCCTCTTGGGCTTCAATTTCTTGTTTTTGGTAAGTGATTTCTAAGTAATGCGTCTCTATTTTTTTTTATTTTTCTTTTGAGTATAGGTAAGTAAACGCGGTGGTAGACTTATTTCATTTACATAATAAATTACCATCAATTCTTTAGTAAGTGTACCGTGTACCTACAAAGCCTTTATTAAAGTACTTAGTTACATACAAGCTGTTTATTTGAGTAAACAAGAAATATTATTTTATGTAGTTCAGTTTAATCAACAGGTAAATGGGTATTATTAGTAGGTATCCTACATGCTATTTTTTTAATTAATACAGGCTACAGGTATACTTCTTCTCGTGACGGGAATCTGGGCCACATTCGACTTGTACACCTATGTAGAATTGGAATATCCTGAAATTTCCGGAACGGCCCCGCAGCTGCTAATAGGCATCGCTGGACTGATTATTGTGGTTACTTCCGTTGCATTCTCCTGCATAATCAAGGGACAACCTGCTCTCCTTTTTATTGTAAGTACTGATCACTGACATTTTATACCTACTATAGTAATACTGATAGAGTTAAAGATCATCCTAAGATGGTCGCACTATTTTTCACTGCCCGGTAGAGACGATGCTGTTCCTGCTACTTGCGCACTATCAACGTTGCTATAGATCCTCCTCGCCAAGCTGTAACTTATCATTATCCACTTCTAAAGAAAGAGCGCTAAATTACATGCGATTGAAGTCTTATTAATGAGTCATTATTGTGAAATCATAAGATTATGTTGCTTGTTCATGCAAGACATTTGCATGAATGCCTCAATGAGAATTCCTGGTTAATTATTTGCAATATGCCGTAGTTAACTACTCGCCTAAAACAGTTGTCTACAAACTATTGCTCATATTCCCAACTTACTATCTTGTTTAATGTGAGATCGTGGAATGTCAGCTTACCTACGTGTAAGTAGTAGGAGGAGTAATTCGGTTCTAATTGACTAGCTTAATAAATAAAGTTAATCTCACCCAGTGCGGTGTCTACTAGGTGGATACCTACGCAATAATATTAGTTTGTTAAAACTGTGTAATTACTTTCTTTATAATTATTGCCTTGTTCTTTAGTACGGCGCCATCCTGGCATGCATCTTCATGATGGACGTTGGCGTGGGAGCGGCGGTGTGCGTCTACCAACACACCTTCGCCAAGGGCCTGTATGACGGTCTCACCCGAACGCTGGCTTCGAACATCCCAAAAAAAGACAATTTGAACTTCGCTCAGGCTACGGTAAACAATATATGTATTTTTCACATAATTAGTTCTAGTTCTCATCTAAGCCGCGCAGACGCAGACCACCGATTTTTAGTCGGCCGATAGGCCCGATTATAGTTACCTGTGTTAGTACAAAGAATCAATCGGTGTAATGTGCGCACTTCCATGCCCATCCTGATTAACTGCCCGACTAAACTATCGCCAATAAAAAATCTATGGTCTGATCAGGGGTTGCGATGTGTCATCTGTCTTTCCAGTTGCTAGCTACTTACCTAGTGACCATGGAGTCGATTCTCTGATAAGAATCATTCTTAATTAATAATAAATAACTCTTATATTTTCAGCTACATTGTTGCGGTGTTTCGAACTACACAGACTGGACGCGGTTATCCCCACAGAGAGTAATACCGACCTCTTGCTGCTTGGACCCTAATAACTGTATCACAGCAAATTATATGGACGTCTATCAGAGGGTAAATTAAAGATATCATACGGGTTGAACATCTAACTAAAAAAAGTAGACCATGCCTGTGCTGATTAATAATTTAAATAATTAGGCGAAATAGCCCACGGTGAATGTGTGGTGGAATGGCCTCAGCCGTTTAGAGATCCGAGGAGGCGGGTTCGAACCCCGCCGCCGCTAGAATATTATGGTGAACTCAACCATAACACAAGCATATTATATTTAACTTATCACGAGGATGAATAACCCGGGACTATTAGTGATCCCGTGAATTATTTAAATGTGGACAATGTTTTAATCAGTGCTCCCTTTTTATTAACCTTTTTTTCTTTTATTCCAGGGCTGCTATGAGGTGATAGTGGAATATTTAACGAACAACATGAACTTTTTGTATGGCATCATGATTGTAACGGGCTCGCTGCCCATACTAGGCACCTTCCTGTCATGTTGCCTGGCAAAGTATATTAAAAAATCGAATTATGACGCCATGAATTAAAATATTTCGTAACATAATGTAAATAGGTAAAATTTCAAATAAAATTAAATGATTAACAAATTAAATGATTTAAGACTTCTTTTAGAAATTTTATTGTTTTATTTAGATAGTCCAGTCTGTAGGTAGATAGTAATTTTTATTATAAATACCTACCTACACAAATAAACTGCTGCATGGAAAACTTGGTGTATATAAAAAATAGGTACCTAATGTTGTAAGGTATAAGCTACTCAAAATATCTTCTTTCGAATATTTGGGTCGTAAAAATGCTGGGTGGGTATGTTTTCTAAGTGTGACGGCCGCCTTACCAAGTGGGCGTATCGCACTACTAGGTAAGTAGGTATGCCAGAGGTCGCGGGTTCAATCCCGGCACAATACAAATAACTCTGTGCCTAAGTGACATTAACAAAAAACATTTATCTGTTATTATTACATTTTGGTGTGGGTATATATATTTCCTAGTTGGCCAGCTAGGAACTGATTTATTTTAAAAACGCATTTTACAAAAAAATATGTTTTTGTAACCATTTAACATACTTCATGCTTGAACACACATAATCCACACCAATATTATTAATATAATGTGCAGTCTTCCAAATCATTATCTTCAAAATTTCTATAGCTTTAAGTAAGCAGTACCTACCTAATTTGAGTACATCATTGATTGCAGAAACAATATTGAGGTAATTTTGACCAACTTGCTGACTTCACTGATTTCAGTCTATTTCAGTAGTTTAACAAACTCATATTTTGTATGAGCAAGTGCATCTGTATAGGTAGGTAGATAACATACCTGGGTAATAAGATAAGATATCTGGGTAATATTCATGTAAAACCGCTTTTGTATGATTAAATATTATTTATTCTGTCTTTATAACATATTAAGACAAACAATATCACAACAATATTATGTATGCAGTAAGTATACAACAATGGTATGTGTATGGTCTATTTTATCAATAAATTCTAGATCAACAACAAGCAGTGTGCTGTTTAGTCACTGTCAGAGCTATGTTTGTCCTCCTTGGCCTCAACTGGAGCATCTTGTTTGTAATGTCTGTATTCAGGTTTCAGCTCCCATGTATTTTTGTGAGGATTCTTCAAGTTGTAATTACAAACTTCTTTGAGTATCTCTTTCAAATAAACAATAGGCTGTCTTGTAATCTGTAATAAAATAAAAAATCGTAAATGATTTGAAAAGTAAAAGACAGATTGCTTAGTGTTAAAATTCTGTTTTACCTTTTGTAAATCTTTTATATTGTAATACTGATGTTTCTCAAATGCAGCAAATAGCATATTGAGCACTGCATCTTTGTCATCACGAGCCTTTTTACCTTCAGCCTTTTTCCTCTCTTGATATTCAAGCTGTAAAAAATAAATAATGTAAATTATAAGTAGTCCACATTATTTTGGTAATGTGGGTAAATGAAAAAATGAAACTCACATCATGTTTGTGCACAGCAACAGGTTTGAAGGTTTGCACAATGCGATCTAACTGCTGCACTTGCCGCTGGGGCATTGAAGCTTTCCTTATAGACTCAGACTTTAGTTTATAATAGGTGTTATTAGCATAAGGCTTACATTCCAATTTTTGTACAATCCGCCCTTCCATATACAGCTTCTCTGATTCAGGAACAACGGAATCTGTGTTTGATGCTGTAATAATAAAAATATTTTCGTAAGTGACATTAGGTGAATCACTTGCAAGCTGATAAGAAATAATCATTTACACAATATTACGTATACTTACGCACAGCATGAGAGAAAACTCCCAACGACTGCCTTGTTTCATTTGACACGCCAAGGCGATGGTCTTTTGGAATACTTTGTTCACCTGGGTCTTTTAAACAAAGTACAGCTTCAGACAAAGATAGCTGAACTTGTGGTTTATTTCCAGTTTTTCTCGTTATCTTTAACTTCCCTACTTCTATGTTACCTGGCGCTTTATCCCATTTATTTGCAATATACTTCGGAACTTTCACAAGCCAAACACCTCGGCCTGTGTTGGATAAATCTAATTCACGATCAATGTGAGGAGTTGGGTTTGTAGTAGTCATATTAACAAACAAAACAAAGAGACTTAACAAATTGTTATTACGTTAAACGATTGTATCTTCTTCACTCTACGAACGAAATAATACGAATCGAATTTTATTTAATCACGTAGTCGACCAACATTGACACTGACAGTTGTTGACAGTATTGACATCTGTGGTTGACACTGTCAATTTGACATAAAGCACTTTTTTTTAAATATTTTTATGGCCTTGGGCTATAAGTATATTATTTAGCTTACTATAATTTATCAAACGCAAAAATCTTTCGTCAACCTCCATACAAAAACCCTGGTTAGAGTTGTAGTTACGGATAAAGTTAAATAGAAATTGAGATGAAAACGTACAAAATTCACGGCCTATTTGTCGCCCACCAGTAGCCGTTTGGCTTAAAGGAACTTATACCCAGAGCCTTACAACATCATATTAAAAAAAAGGTAGCTTGTCTATGGTCTGCAGAGTTGCCAATCTGTGGAAAATTCCCCAAACTACGGTGAAAGCAAAGGTGATTGGGTAAAATGCGGGGATTTTAGGTATGAATATTAATACGCTCTATTTAACTTTGAATTTCTGCTAGTCTTCTTGACTGATTTCTTACAATTAATTAAAACAGATTTTTTTTTATTTAATGAGAACCATAGTCTCATTTGAATGTGGTAATAATGTAATGTTGGTCTTAATTATGATAACACCAGAAACCATATTAATTATGTTTTTTCGAAGTTCTACTTCATTATTTCCAAATCATAATGACTATTCACTTACATTTTTTGGTTGTTTTATTTCTGTGAGAAATAATAAATGTGGGTAATTTCGACAATACGTTTGGTTTGGGGATTTTGGAATAATACTGTCGGCAACCCTATTTGCTGTCATCAATCATCTATCAGTTTTGTGATTGTGTGGTTCCGAACCGAAAAATTAAAATACATGTTTTTGTGAATAATTAACAGTAAATATGATTTTGAAAATGGAGCTGTATTAAATATGTAACTAACTTTGTTTAAAATTAAATCCAAAGATGTTCGGTTATAGCAAAGAAGCAGTGAGAGTGAAAGTCAAGGTTTGTATTATGAAAAATTTGATTCTTCTTGCTCCGTTTGGTAAATGTTTCAACATTGAAATAATTAGTTATAATGCAACTTTGAAAAACATACATTTGATTATTCCGTCAGTTTTGAAATGTTAGACTACCTACCTACCTGTTTATATATTTTAGAAATGTGAAGGAAAGCTGCAACCAGAGTTGAGAAAATTCTCTGTTGATCCACAAATAACGTCTCTGGAAGTTTTGCAAAGCATTTTAATTAAAGCATTTGACATCAAATCTGACTTTACACTCTCATACCGAAGTGTGGATGACTATGGCCAAGAAATTTACTTACCACTGCTATCAGATTGGGACTTAGATGCAGCTTTTCTTAAGTAAGTATTAGTGTATTTGTTTTTATTAGATGTTTATTACTATAAATTTAAAAAATAAGATACTATAATTTGACCATATTTCAGGGCACATAACATAGCACTTAATCAGAAATCAGAACCATGTGTACAGCTAAAAGTGGACATGAAACCCTTTGCGGAAGCATCTGAGGATTGGGAGCCTCCAAATGTAAATCCAACTACTCAAATGACGAGTCAGAGCAAGGAACAGCCAACTGTGGCACCGTCCCCACATCAGAACGAAAAACAGGATACTCCCACTGGATTCCAAGGACTATTCATGAATCATGTATGCATGGCTTTTTAAATTTACCTATACTGCTGAAAACTAATTTTGTTCCAAAGATAATTCTCACTTAATAGTCAGAACTTCAAATACAATTAGACACTGTATAAATGCATACATATCCATCACAAAATTTAGTTTAGAAGAGTCATTACCTACTTGGTTTCTATAATTATAAAATTTTAATTTGTGTTTGAGCCTAACAACAGAACAAATAAAACTACTAATGACATTATACAGGGTGTCCCGTAATGTAACGTCAAGCCGGAACTGGGTGTTGAGGCAAGTTGTGCTGGCTATCAGAAAAATATAAAAAAAATCTATGTGGCATTTTGTCAAAATAATAGGCATTTAAAAAAAATCAAAAAATTCTACTCCCGGTGACGGTCTTTTTACTCGTGTTGCCACAAATCTTCACTTTTTCCAAATTTTTTTTTTTGTTATGTAGCCCTGAATAATGCTTCTCTAAATTGTTATCAAAATTACAAAACCAGCTGCTCCAACTTGGATGAAAAAAATACATTATTCCCAAAAAAAATATCAAAATAAAAATTTTGCCTAGTTTAAACTGACTGTACTGAAAAAAAATTGTACTACGTGAGTGTGGCAAGTGACGTCATAATTTGGCGCATTTAGTAAGGATTCCAAAATGGTATAACACTTTGTAAAATCTTGCTGTAATTATCGACAATTTTGTTTATTGGAAATAATCCCGTTTTTAACTTTATCTACCTTGGTTAAAAATATTATTCTAATGTGCCCAAAATTCAAGTTTCTGGCTTAAGTGAGGTGGAGAAGCCATTTTAAAAGGGATGCAGGGATGCTATGGATATCCGTAACCGTAACCGAAACTATCGGATATCCGAAATAAAAAAATATCCATAACCGTAACCGAAACTGATTCAAAAGTTACGGATAGTTTCGGATAAAGGCGGAGTCTAAGGGTACAATTCCAAACTGCAAAACTCTATGAAATCTGCAGTATACACGCCGCAGCTGCAATGCCGCGCTGCCGATTTCATAGTTTTGCAGTTTGCGGTTGCAGTTTGCGGTCTGCGGCCCGTCTTGGAATTGTACCTTAAATCTTAATATTTGTTACCAACTTGTCTGGCATTCGCTGGCACCATCTAATATGCCAGCCTGTTTTACCTTTATCATACATAGGTGTCGTCTTAGTTGGTACATAAAGTAGCTATGTGGGTCACGCTCACGCAGCATCTTGCTATTTGTATTATACCTACATTTTTGAAATTCTAATAATTCCGTAACCGAAATTATCCGAGACTTTCGGATAATCTGAAATGATTTCATGTCCGTGACCGTAACCGAAACCGGTATAATATTATTCTAATATCCGTAACCATATCCATAACCGAAACTTCATATCCTTATTATCCCTGTTACCAAGTACAAGTGCAGGCAGAGCAGGTAGTAAAGGCGCGCACAGGTGACTTTTGTCACAGTATGTCAACTACTAATTACTGTCATGGTGACAAAAGTTTCTGTGACTTTAGAATAATAATTTTTTTTAATTTTGGGCACATTAGAATAATAATTTTTAACCAAGGTAGATAAAGTTAAAAACGGGACTATTTCCAAAAAACCAAAAATTGTCGACAATTACAGCAAAAATTTACCAAGTGTTATACCATTTTGGAATCCTTACTAAATGCGCCAAATTATGACGTCACTTGCCACACTCGCGTAGTACATTTTTTTTTTCAGTACAGTCAGTTTAAACTAAGCAAATTTTTAATTTGAAATTTTTTTTGGGAATAATCTATTTTTTTCATCCAAGCTGGAGCAGCTGGTTTTGTAATTTTGATAACAATTTAGAGAAGCATTATTCAGGGTTACATAACAAAAAAAAATTTGGAAAAAGTGAAGATTTGTGGCAACACGAGTAAAAGGACCGTCACCTGGAGTAGAATTTTTAGATTTTTTTTAAATGCCTATTATTTTGAAAATATGCCACATAGATTTTTTTTTATATTTTTCTGATAGCCAGCACAACTTGCCTCAACACCCAGTTCCGGCTTGACGTTACATTACGGGACACCCTGTATAATGTATGACAGTTCATACATTATACAGTTTTCTTAGAGCCTAAAAAATAATATTTATATTGGTTGTATTATTATATTTATGATATTAACAACTTATAGGTTGAGAAAACATTCAACATGGTATCACGGGCTCTCAACCTGTATGAAGATCCCAACACTCCCCCGAGACCACCGCTTAGTGATATTGAATTCAGAGCTTTTCTAGATGCGGTAGGACAAATCAATAACCCCACGAAGCTGAGAGAAGTCATATACTGTGGTGGAATTGATCCAAGTCTAAGGTATTCTAATAATATTCATATTATGACGGCTGCTTGGCCTTATAGCTTACGTAATGGTAAATGATGAAAATTAAATAAAGCTGGGTGTTTTCACTAAGAAAGATAAAAATATCTTGAAAGTGAAGAAACTTTATAAGATGTCGCAATTGAAAATAAATTTATGAAATAATACCAATATGAAGCAATACCTTAGTCTAATACAAAACTAATGACATCAATTTATGTTTCAGGAAAGTGGTTTGGAAGCATATACTCAATGTTTATCCAGATGGTATGACGGGGAAAGAAAGAATGGACTACATAAAAAGAAAAGCTAATGAATATTATGCTCTGCGAACTAGATGGAAAGATTGTATTCAACAGGGAATGGTAAATCATACACTTATTTATTAATTAATTGTAATGTATTGTGCCTACATGATGCAATAAAGAAAGAATATTTCATTTGATTATTATGAGTATTATGATCTCGACATCCAGTTTATAGAATGATATTATTTACAGGTCAATCCTGACTTAGCTTATGTAACAGGGATGGTTCGAAAAGATGTGCTGCGAACTGATAGGCATCACAATTTCTATGCTGGCAGTGATGACAATCAGAACATAGCATCTCTCTTCAACATACTGACAACGTGAGTTTTCTGCCATATCCTTTTCTATACAATTTATGTCAAAAGAAACACTATTTTCAAAATAATTTAATTTTTTTTTCACTGACCATGCTAATTTCCGTCTCAAAACAATTCCAAAAACGTTACGTAGCCTGTTATAAGTTTTTATTGGGGTTGCAGGTATGCTCTGAACCACCCGACCGTAAGCTACTGCCAAGGCATGTCGGACCTGGCGTCGCCGCTGCTCGTCACCATGGGCGACGAGGCCCACGCCTACATCTGCTTGTGCGCGCTCATGACTCGCCTTTACCCCAACTTCCTCTTGGACGGGGAAGCTATGACGCTAAAATTTTCACATTTGACTGAATCCTTACAGGTTTACGATCCTGACTTTTATAATTACTTAAAATCTCAACAAGCAGATGATTTGTTGTTTTGCTATCGATGGTTACTGCTGGAAATGAAACGCGAATTCGCGTTCGAGGATGCTTTGAGAATGCTTGAAGTTCTGTGGGCGTCTCTCCCTCAAAAAACGCCAGGTAGAGCTGTCGTTGAAAGAAAAAGAATTTGACCCGACGCTGGAAATAGATGATGACCCGCCCCCTTTAAGTCCTTTAGTAAAAGCGCCGCGAGAAAATGCTTACACAAAGGTTTGCGCGATTAGACGTCAAAGCTCAAGTTTCAGTTTAGCGAATGTGAAGGCGCCTAAACTTGCCACTTGCAAACAAATGAATCACAGTCTTGACGAAAACGTAACTCGACAAATTCTGACTAATCCGTCGCTAAAGCATGCCAAAGAGTTCCAAAGTTTAGATGACGGAGTTTTACAAGTACAAAAACCAAGATTCGACAGGCACGATAACGGTATCGAAAAGAACAACTTCACATCTAAGGATACCAAGATGCATTTAAGAAGGGGCATGAAAAGTGTCCCCGAGGACGGGAAATCCCCCGAACAACAAGAGCCTGCAGTTTGGTCAAGCACAGGTAATTTAATTAATGGGAACTCCCATGTCGATGCAAAAGTTACTCCATTGGGAAGTCAGATTCGATTACTGCGAGATAAAATATCTGTGCATAACAACAAATTCTTTTCTTCTTTGGATAAACTTGATGACTCGATGAATTTAGATGCGAATTATCGACCAAGAGTAAAAATGATTAAAAATTTAAATGAATTTCTTAATTTTGCTTCAGGAAGTAAAGTAAGCGACTTCAAACATGAAAAGCTCCAAAGGACACATTCAGCTAAAGAGAACAGTTCCAAAGGCTGCCCAAGAATAACTTTGACGAAAAATTCTTTTGAGGAGCATGATGTGGCCCAGAAACTCAAAGACGCCAAAACAAACAAAATCACCAAAAACTTGTATGATGCGAACGATGGAAGCAGTCCAGACGATTCACAAGAGTACTATCCGATGACTACATCCATGACGAGAGAATTGAGACTTGAATTAGAACATTTAGATCGCCAAGTCTTTGGCCAATCATATGTCAACCGATGCAGTTTGATTTGCGACTCCCCTTCTGAATCGACAAGCACTGAAGAAAAGCAAACTAACTGCACAGATACAAAACAAGCTTGTCTTACAACTGACACTATAGAAACTCAAACGTCAACTATAGAGCTAACAAAAAAATCCCCATTATTTGAAACAATCAAATCTAATGCTAGAAGCGCGGAAGACATTTATTTGTGGGAAAATCCGTTACATAGAAACACGCCAACTACGAGGACAACAGCGAGTTGTCCGCAAACTCCGGACGAACAGGCCGATTTAGACTTCGATGGTGATACAGGAGAAATTTTCGAAGAACATTCTGGGAAAAAATCAATCACACCTATCAGATTGCTAAGAAAAAACCAATCTCTGGAACCACAAGATCTGTCGCGAGACGGTAGGCACTCTGTCACACCTTCCAGTGAATCTGATTCATCAGAAAGGGATACAGTAGAACCAGCTAATGAGGCGGACCTAAAAAATAATCCGCAAGACCCAAATAGTTCTTCAAGATCTCAAAAGTTTTTCTCTAATATGTCCCAGGAGTTGGAGAACGCAAAGAGAAACTGCGAATCTTTGCTAAATGTTAAGCCGACTAATTTACACAGCGTTGCATCTACTATAAACAATTTCCAGAAAAAATACGAAGTATTTAAACCGCCAGTTCAGAAAAATGTCTCTGCCATTTCAGTCAGCAGTGAAAATACTGGCAAGTTCAGTATTAGCAATCTTCCTCCGCCGACAGCGTTTGGGGGAGGAAATCCATTTTTGATGTTTCTTTGTTTAACAGTATTGTTGCAACACAGAGATTACATTATGAGGAACCGAATGGACTACAATGAACTGGCGATGCATTTTGACAAAATGGTACGAAAACATAATGTGAACAGGGTATTGAACCAAGCGCGGCAAATGTACGCGATTTATCTAAAACAACAAGCTCATAAGACTGGGGATGTTACGACATAAATTAATAGTCTAAGGCAATTTATCCTATAAGGTTCTTTATAAAATATTAGCACTGTGCAATATCATCAGTAGATAACATTCAACTTCTTTATTATGTTTGATTACTATTTATTCAAAAATCAATTATTAATATGTATTTATTTAGAAAACAATGCTATTGATTATGTTTGTTTTTAATGTTATCTTATAATGATATTGTGAAGACATAATATTTTTATTTCCTTGTGTAACATAAGCTTAGGAGATCTCAATAATATATTTGCTCATAAAAGTAATTTGTTTCGACATCGCTATGCCGAAAGATAATTTGACTTACTTAGAAAAAAAATCTAGTATATTACGTGTTTTACTTTCTTCATTGAGAGAAATGTATTAAGTGCAATAAATAAAAGAGCAAGACAGCTTTGGGCAAACGCACTGCAAGCGGCAAAGTAAACGGCAGCATTTATTTACCTACCCGCATTATTTCTTTATTGTGATTCATTTTAAAATGTTTAGTTGCAATCCAAAGAGACTTATTTCTACAAAATGTGATATGTTTTATTTGTTAGATAAGTGTTTAGATTTATTTTTTAATATTAATCGAATCTGGGTGACAACCAAAAGCAATGAAAAATTCAATATTTTTTTGTAATGACCTATGTGACTAAAACGATGTTAAATGAATTTTTATAAAACGGCCACAGTCCCAAGTAAGCAGTCGGTAATATTCTTCCGTAATACTTCAGAAAATTATACAGGGTGACTGGAACTGAACCCGCCATAGCTAATACGCGTATAGAGGAGGTCATTTGCTAATTATTGAACCTTACTTTCTATGACTAAAGTTTTATAGTTTAGGAGATATGACATTTTTATACTTGTTTCAGATTTTCCCGAAATTTGACCTAAAAACTGCTTAATTTTTTTTTCTCGCATGATTTTAACCGATTTTTTTATTTGATACTAATATCAAATAAACCTTTAGTCAAATAAAATAAATTTCAGATCTAGATAATGATTCAATAAATAGTCACGAGCCGCCAAAGTTCAACAAAGTACAAACCACGATAAAAAATTCAAAATCGATTTCGATTTAAGAAAAAACTAATGGTGATAATGGATTGCCAATGATCTTAAAAATATCTCTACCTTCTCTTCTTTCCATTAAGTAATTAGATATTGAAATTTATTAAAAATTCAAAGTTTATGGAAGAAAATGGAGTAATTTACGAAAATTATTCATACAAAGTTTCTTCAAACAACTCATATTTTCTGCTATACTCCTTTTCATAACTATTTTCGTGTTTTTTTTAAAATGAATTTAAAAATAATAATCACATTATAAAGAAAAAAAAATTAAAAAAATTCAAAATCAACTTTGTATGGATAATTTTTGTATTATTACTCCATTTTCTTCCATAAACTTTGAATTTTTGATAAATTTCAATATCCAATTACAACGTGTGATATATCATTGGAAAGAAGAGAAGCTGGAGATATTTTTAAGATTATTGGCAATCCATTATCACCATTAATTTTTGTTTCAATCGAATTTGAAGTAGAATTTTTTATCGTGGTTTGTACTTTTGTTGAACTTTGGCGGCTCGTAACTAGCTATTCAATCATTATCTGGATCAGAAATTTATTTTATTTGAATAAAGACATATTCGATATTAATATCAAATAAAAAAAACTGTTGAAATCACGCGAGAAAAAAAATTGAAGCTTTTTTTAGGTCAAATTTCGGAAAAATCTGAAAAAAGTATAAAAATTGACATATCTCCTAAACTATAAAACTTTAGCCATAGAAAGTAAGGTTCAATAATTAGCAAATGACCTCCTCTATACGCCTATTAGCTATGGCGGGTTCAGTTCCAGTCACCCTGTATAAGTAATCGCTATGATGATGATAATACTCGGACTTGTGTGCATTAGCAAGTCAGCACCTGCAACCTTATCGCTATTGCATTAAGGGTCACATTCATTTCAATTCCAATAAACGATCCGGCTGTCAGCAGATCTGCATTTAATTTTAAGGGAAATTTATATTACTGATGGTAAAAAAAAAGTCCCTAGAAGCTATTGTTATACAATGTAATTAGTTTTGAAAATTTTATCTTTCATGTGCACAAGTTGTAACAACTATGACGTCATTGTATAACGAAATAGTACCTGATTCAAAATCATAGCTGTAAATCCAGAACTTCATTGACTGTCATACCATAACATGTTTGACTTCGAAAAAAATCCACGACAATATTATGTATGCACGCATTGTAAAATTATACGTATGTACCTAATCTAAATAATAATATGTTGACGTTAATGTGCGATTGTACTACTGTTCATTATGAAATAAGGCTTTTTCTTTAACTTCATTGGCCTATACAAATTGTATTATAGTTCAGTATTTATCTGATATCCAATATTCTAATTCTGCTTATATGAGCTTTCATTTAACATGTAAATAAAGTATTTAATGATATTATTTCTCGTGTTTTTATACCTGGCTACTTAGTTTTATTATTCTCACATTCATGGTCACACATGATGGGTACGACGAAGTTCATTCACCGGTCCAGCTAATGTCTTATGAAGGGATATACTCGAAAAAGAAAAACAAAAAATATTCGGTTACACTGGTTAATTTATTATTGATTTCCAACTCCAGTTAGAAGTCCTTACCTAATCTTTACAAACTTATTGCCTACATTATATCACAAATCATTAAATTGAAAGCAAAGTGTCTTATGTTTTCTGCCTTCTAACATTTTGCTAAGTTCTCTTGACAATTTATTCAATATTAAAAAAAAATTAATAATAATAAATATCAAGTAATTGAAATTGAAAGATGGCTATGTACTAGTTGTAGGTTAAATTTACTTTCTCTTGTTTCCACCTCCACCCGACAGAATCATAGCAATGCGCATGAAGATGTTGAGTACATCCAGGTACACTGAGATCGCTCTGAAATAGAAATATTTATCCTCATAAAGTGTTCATTGTTATGAATCATACATAATATCAGTAATCACCAACATTCATTCGCAAATTATGAAAATAAGAGGACACTTACGAGTTGATAGGATCATAGGGCTGGAATCCATACATAGGGTGCATTTCAGCACGTTTGATAATTGCCTGAGTGTCATAGAGCAGGAATCCACCAAATACAATCAATCCACCATATAAACTTAGTGAATATAATCCTGAAAGTAAACAAATATTAAATTCACTATCACTGCACTCTAATATTTTTACTAATGAGTTATGAATAATGGGTTGTGCTTTACCTGCTCCTAGGGCAGAGGTTGGTGGCAAAAACATGCCAGCAAGTGACGCGGCAAACACAGCTCCGAGGCCCATAGCTAGAGGTGCTCGCATGTTCAGGAATTCACCAGAGGGCGCGCAGACAGCTATTGTACTTAGACCACCCACAACACCAGCTGTGTACCTGAATTTGTATAAGAAAATTATAATAAATATTACCCACTAGAAATGTGGCCTAAAAATATAAAAAAAAAACTGTTTGAAAAACTCCTCAACAGGTCAAGAAGTGCATAAGAGTATTAATATGTCTTTTGATCAATGTACACTCACCAAGCTGCTCTAATTAGTACAGGTCCACCGAGGAAGCACATTGGTGCAATAACAGCACCCATAATGCCAGTGTGTACTATCCAAGCAAGTTGTTTGGCGCCAAAACCAGGTTTGTAATCCATTCCACGGACCACCATGCCTGAACCAATCATCAATCCCATGGTCATAATGATAGACTGGAAAATGTTAGAAAAATAAAATTAGTTGTACTCTAAATAAATAGTCTTATCAGTTATTATAAATAAAACACAAATAAAATAAAATCTACATAAAATATTCAGTTAATAAATGGAACACTTACCACCCAACCATTTCGAGCAACCAAATTTAGCAAGGCTGGTGTACGAAATACTGTGATAGCACTGCCAGCAGTGATTACCAGGGAACCAGCTATGTAACCATAAGTTGCTTTGATCCTGTCTTTAACATATTGTGGCCAGAGGCTGAAAGTAGATATATCGGATACATGATTACGGCACATTTATATGTATGTCATAGAAAATTTAAAATTCCATCAAGTTTTTAAATGTACTTACTGTGCTTCTTGTAATGTGCCTGGTTTGGCTCCAGAGCCATAATAACAGAGAGCCACGAGGCCCACAGCCGATGCACCTGCCAGAGCTCCTTTTCCCAAACTAAAAGCTGAAAATTTAATTGAATTTTATTCTATACATTCTTAAGTTATTGTAATAAAATAAGTAAGGCAACACCATTCCAGCAGCCCCAATACAATGACAAAAATTACACAATTAAAAATGTGTAAGCAAAAAATAGTAAATCATAATCTACATTAAACCTTTTAAAAAACATTGATATGATAATCTTGTTTATTTGCCTATGAACACTATGTAATTAATAATGACATCATGATCAAATCCACCCAATATTATTCTACAAAACATTAAATTTTATCAACATAAACAATATTTTTTCTATTTAAAACTGGCAATAATAATTATATTAAGAATATAATAACAAGTAACAAATTTATGTAGTGATGATAATACGAAAAATTCGGAGTTTCATCAACAAAAACATCAATGTAGGTATTAAGATATTGCACAATATAACTTTGAACACTCACCATTAGGTCCAGCAGGGGCCATCAATCTTTCCCACACAGATGGCTGCGTCCTGGAGGCCACTCGAGATCGGGCTTCGCGGGCATAGTTTCGGACTATGTAATTTTTAGGAATAAGTTTTTGTGGAACAGGAGTCTTCAAAGTATGCGTCACAGTAAACGCAGAACGAGCTACGCACATACGGGATAACATTGTGATGTAATCCGGTTTCTAAAAAGAAAACTTTTAATTATTAAACAATATTACAAAGAAGAGATAGATTCTACAATATTTTGAATCAAAAATGAATTTCATCAGCCGGCACGGTAGTTTCATAGATTTTTCATGGAAATGTCACAAAATAATCGAAATATGAAAATACCTTTTTTAACGCCAAAAATAAGTAAAGTATGTTGTAATCAGTTTACATGTTATGAAACTGCTCTAAATACATTAAAATAATGCAAATTATACCTTGGAACCAGAGAGTTTTCTGGAAAATCTCTATTTACGTTTCGTGCACTGCCACAATTTTGAAAGGTGTGAGTGATCACAGATTAAAAGAGCAAGCAACACAGATTTGGATTTAATAAAATCATTGACATGTATACTATGGACCNAAAGAGCATAAAAGAGATGTATACTATGGACCGGGCATACCTATAAAATAAACGTGCTTAGTACATACACGATTTGGGCAAACTACACACAAACACAAACATTTATCATCATGTGTGTCAGTGTGTGCATGCATGTGTGTGTTCCATTAAGGCTTCGCAATCGCACTAGTCGAATAATTTAGTAGAGTAGGTAACTCGCTTTTGGTAACAGAAACTAATCTACTCGGTACTGACCGAAAGAAAAATCGTTCGCACTTTTGTAGACTACAGTTTCTTCCTATAACATTACTATGCTCTATGCTACAGTTTACATAGTTATTAAAATCGACTACTGGTTATACAACTAGTTTTTAAAAGTGGACAACTTAATTTCAGAAATAATATCCAATAATCCAAAAATTTCTTTGCGTAAACGTAAAAATTAATAAAGTCAAAAATGTCAAGTGTCAATGTCATTGAAAAGTCATGTCAACCATTACTTTTCTCTATGATGTCAACGTTGTTTTTGGTTAGCGCGTTGCACACACGTGGTGATTGTTATTCAATTTTAATTATAAATTAAGTGCAGATACGTTGATTTAAAGTGCTAAATATGAAGAAAGTGAAAAAAAGTCTTAGGGCCCCTGAGCCTGAGCCGTCAGGTAATTATTTAACCATTAATAATTGATCTACGTGTCGGTATTCTTAGAGTAACCCTCGATATTTTATAAATTCTAGATTCAGAGGATGATCTAAATCCAGAAAGTCATAAAAAGTCACTGGAAAATATGAAAAAGACCGACCCTGATTTCTATTCCTTTTTGGAAGAGAATGATGAGGATTTGCTCAACTTTGATGTGGAGTCTGAAAACGATGCCTCTGATGTTGAGAATGAAGATGACGAATCTATACACAAGCCTGCTCCACTGCAGGGGGACAGTGATGAAAGTGATTATGAGGTAAATAGCTTATTTCAGAAACAAGCTTTAGATGCACTGTAGCCACTACATTGTCACTATGTGAATTAATTTGTATACCTACCTTTACTCTTTTTAATGATTATTTGTGAAACTTACTCATTAAATACATTATTTCGTGTCTTCAGGATGAAAGTGCTAAGCCTGTAAAAGGAAAAATTACTTTAAAAATGGTTCAACAATGGCAATCTGAACTTCAAAGTGAAGGCAAAATTAAACTGGCTTCACTTACTAATGTTATAAAGGCTTTCAACGCTGCTATGTTGAGGGTCACCAGTGAAGATGGTACTTCTGACGGTGAATACAAGGTTGAAGGTAAGATTTATTGTGACTTTTATTGTTACTTTAGTTAGTAGCGTAGATTTTGTTTATATTATTATTCTTATGCCACTTTGTATAATATTGGGATAGAAGACTTGCAGCAGAATTTGACGATTTTGCTTGTATTTTAAATTGAGTGAGTAAAATTGAAATGTTTTATTTCCTGTTTTCAGGCTCATCTGTTTTCAATGCTGTAATACAGATGTGTGTCCTGTATTTACCTTCTGCCATCAAAAAGTACTTGGGCCTTGAACAATCAGGGAAAGACCCACAGAAATGCAAACACTTTGTTAAGCTTAAAGGACCCCTGCTAGCCTATTTAAATGACTTACTGAAGTTACTGGGTGGGGTCACTTCTGAGAATATTCTTACTGTCCTATTGAAGCACTTACATCAAATGTCCATCTATGTGGCATGCTTTAATAGAATATCTAAACAAGCTCTCAAGAAATTGATTATACTGTGGAGTACTGGTGAAGAAACAGTGAGAGTATTGGCTTTTCTGTGCATACTCAGAATCACTAGAAACCAACAAAGTAACTTGCTCGATCTGGTCCTAAAAGCGATGTATATGACATATGTGAAGAACTGCAAGTTTGTAAGCCCATCCACATGGCCAGGAATCAACTTCATGAGAAGATCTTTGGTGGAGATGTTTACTTTGGATTTGAATGTTTCATATCAACATGTATTTCTGTACATCAGACAACTGGCGATACATTTGAGAAATGCAATTGTTGTACAGAAAATTGAAAACAGACAAGCAGTTTATAACTGGCAATTCATCAATTCTGTTCACTTGTGGGCAGATTTGTTAGCTTCAACATCAAATAAACCTCAATTGCAGCCCTTGGTATATCCTCTTGTAATGGTCATAACAAACACCATCAAGCTCGTGCCCACACACCAATATTATCCTTTGAGATTCCATTGTGTTGACATCTTGATTAATTTATCCAAAGAGTCTAACACATTCATACCAATATTACCATTCCTTGTAGAGGTAATTTGATTTGATCTTTTTTTATTAAAACTATTTATCTTTATTATGATAGTGAACATGCAAATATTTTACTTTCAGGTTTTAACAGCCTATGACTTCAATAAGAAACACAAAAAAGCCTCAATGAAACCATTGGACTTTTCTTGCATTTTGAGACTGGCAAAATCACAGCTCACAGAGAATGGATTTAAAGATTCTGTGATAGAGCGACTTTATGCTCTTTTATTAGAATACACTGCAAATGAATCACATTCAATTGCCTTCCCAGATATCATGCTGCTTGCTATTGTTCAGGTATGATTTTAATTTGTTTTAATTAAGCTGTATGCCTCTGGCTAAAACTCTCTGTGAAAGTTCTAATATTATTGTGTTTTTAACTCTTTTTCAGATTAAACAATTTCTGAAGACATGCTCTGTCTCCAACTATACAAAGAAAATGCGACAGCTGCTAGAAAAAATTGAAGAAAACTCAAAATTTATAGAGAAAGAAAGATCCAAAGTGACTTTTTCCCTAAATGATAATAAAATGATTACAGCATGGGAATCAAGCATTCGAACTAAAGGTACTCCTCTATTAACATTCTTTGAGAGCTGGAACAAGGTAAACAAGATTCAAAAACGCAAAAAGATCACTAAGAATGATGAGCTAGCTGGAGAGCTACCAGTTATAAAGAGACCTAAAATATCTGAGGAACAAGTAAGTAAAGTAAGGAAAGAAAAGAATGGTCCAATGGTACTGTTCCCTTCAGACAGCGAGGATGAAAGTAACAACTTTAAAATCGATGATGAGAATGAACCACCTGCAAAGGTTAAGAAAGTCAAAAAAACTAAAACATTAAAAAAGAAGAAACTTGACAGGAAAGTTAGTATGGATGATGAAGAGGACAGCTTTGTTAATAAAGATGATATTGTTCAAGATTTTAGTGTTACTGATTGGTAAGAAATAATATTAAATGTTCAAATAAAATCTTGCTTTTATTTTTAACTTTACCTAGCATCCATAAAAGAGGAAACGAAATGGGTGAAGAGAAGAAGTTGCGCAAGACTGTGGGGAGACAAGATGGCTGCAAGCCAGTACAATACAGTAACGCGTGTGTGCAGTATCTCATTGCATCTCTCGTATTCACTGCATCTCTTTTTAGTCTATTTTGTTCAATGAAACAAACTGTTACCAATTATTGTATATTGAATATAAACTACATATTGATCGAAATGTGATAATAAATGCAATCAAATGTAAATCCTAGGGAATGCCTTGCAGGAAGAAGGTCCAATGCACCTTGGGCTCGGACGGCTCGTAGCTCTCGACCGTGAGGCAGCCGGTCGGCGGCTCGTCCCAGCCTTGCGGGGGCTTCTCGCTCAGGTACACAATCACTTTCAGATCCTAGAAATGTAGAAAGGGAGATGCTCATTGCTCAATGAAAACAAAGAATGAAAAAGAAAGTATGATTTAAAAAAATATATAGGTCGCGCAGCGAAAGTTGAGGGGAACACGTGCTCTGGGTATCTCCTATAGTGTAATTACAATTGTAGTTTAGAAACATGTAGTTAGTATGGTTTTACTTATGTATTCATAAAGGTATACCTTTTTAGGTCTGACTGGTTCATAATTTGTTTTAACATAGAACTCTTCACGATCTATCGATGTTTTGAACATTCGGATGTCGTCAAATACGTTTTTGAAAGTGATAGTTGTATAGCTGCCAGCCTTTATTTCGTAGGGTCCTTGCGGTTTAGGGGCAGTTGCTTTTCCTTTTATATTGAAGCTGGAAACGTTTAAATTGCTTGTAAGTTACAAGCTATCTAAGGCAGTTAGTTTTAAATTAATTAAAATAAAGGAATAACAGAATTTAAGTACTTACACGAATTCTCCCGCTACTGGAGAATTGAACGAAAGTTTACATTCTTGAACACCTAGTTCAGTTGGTTCAAACCAAACTAGCAGCTTGCCTTTTTCGAATGGGCCCAAGGTATAGTCTCTATCAGCCTGAATGCTTGGGTGAGAAATCTGTAAAAATAACAATAATTTATGTTTAATTTAATTTATTGTCAAACTTTTTCTGATTTGACCAATTTAAATTGCTCCGGTAAGTGCAAAACCTTACCGATGTAGTAAAGTCCGTTTTGACGTCAGTTTTGTTGTGGACCCTGAGCCGCAATGGCATGCATGTGCCTAGAGACGTTGTATATTCCAGGTTCTTGACTTTCGCCGGCAAACATTTGAGCACAACTTTGTACACATAGGTGCCAACGAGCTGGTTCGATACCTCCAAGTAGTCCTCAACTTCTCCGACTACCAAGGGAGAGTATAGCAGCACTAATATTGCCTGAAAAAATATGTGTTCTTTATGTAGTCTAGTACATTATCATTGATCAAAGACTTGGGGAGAAAAACTCGTCATTTTTGACGTATCCAATATTTAGATGTCTGAGGTACCTCGGAATTCCTGTTAATTTTGAGCACTTCAGGACATTGGAGCTTCTCGCATCGAATGAAGAAGTTGGCTTCTTCGGCCAGTGGGTTGGTCACCACGAGGTCTTTCTGCACCGACTCCCGCGCACGTGAAACGAATGTCAACGTGTCTACGATCGGACTAGTCGTCACCGTCACTATTATGTTGTAGAATTGGTATTCTCGGGTCAGTTCATTGATGAACATTACCTGAAACATTAATCACGTTAATTTTGAATAGGTATACTAGTATCACTCTTGAATAAATATTATGTAGGTACGTAGCAGCTCTACAGTAAAACCTAGCGAAGGTTAGCTTCTAGCTAGTCTCTAGGTACCCTAAAGATTGTCTAATGTCCTACGACTCACTAGAATTAATAAGAGCGAATAGAAAGGATACGAAGGTATACTTTTAGTGTAAAAATCATATAACTATACAATACTTTGAGATGCATTTCACATTCTTCGTAACAGACATAGGTCAATCGGCATGTGGCCGCAGCCTCTCCCCATACTTTTATTGTTTCTGGGTGTTTGATTTCGAAATATCCTTCAAACTTGTCTGGGATTACTTTTGCTACTTCTGTTGATACCACGTAAGATTCTGGGAACTGGTGGAAAAGTAATACATTGGTATATTTTTTTAGCAATTGTAAATATCTGAAAAGTAAGGTTTCCATTTAGTTGCCTAACCTCAGTGATGTTATAAACAAGCAGTTCTTCCACGTGGAACTCTTTGGCAGGCACGGAAATAGTGATGTTTCCATTGGGGTTCGGGTGCAGAGCGGCGCCTATCAATGATACGAACAGGGCACTCTCGCCGAGAGGAGAGAATAACACTTGAGCCTGAAAATGATAAAATAGTTCAAATCGCTTGTAGATAAAAAGTCCATCGCATTTACAGAGGTGCGTAAGAGACTCAAACTGCTATACAACATTTAAGAAAGGATCGCCTTTCTACAACTCTCACAAATAGTTAGGTTGTAATCAGAACAGAGGCAACATTTTAGTACCTTCCTTTCTGTGGAGCAATGTCATACATACCTCATGTTTCCCGATAGTTTTCGGCTTGAAATGTACTGGGATATCGAAGGTCGAATTCGGCTCGATGTTAAATTCTTTGAGGGTTTCAAAGGGCCCACCTGATACCTCACTCAAAACGAGCCACATGTCATCAGACCTGTAATTTTTTAAAGTTATTTTCTATAAATATCTAAGACTAATACTTAGTTAATATTTTAAAGCATTTTCAGCTGTTCACTGTACAACTTACGGATTCGTAACAACTACATAATCAGTTTGAACCTCTCGTACAGGGCACTCTAAATACATCGTCTTATTCTGAACATTTCCCATGTCCACACAGGTAGCATACATTGCTATCTCAAGTGGCATATAATTTTCGATATTGCAACTGGCCTGTGGAGTTAAAATTGGGAAATACAAGTACCAGTGATGAAATCAAATCATACATAGGAAAGGAAAGTAACTTAAGGCCGTTAGGAAATTACAATTTATTCAAACGCGCCGTACATTATCGCTTTATTCATGTGATCATAAGAATATGCTCATCATTCGAACTATTATTGAGCCATAAACCTGTTGGCCTATTTACAAAAAAGCACTCACCCATACTTTTATGAACGGATTATGATTTATAGGTCTGAAAGTTATTGTGAAAGTAACATTGGTGTGCGCTGCTATATTTCCTTGCACCGGAGATATAGTAAACTCGTTCGATATTAAAGGTTGCCACCAGAATCTGGGAAATGAATAATGTTTCAATAAGCTTAATATAATCATTTTTGACGTTATCCTTAGACAGATTCAGTACACAACTCAGTATAGAGCCTTTACGAAAGTTGTATTCTAACTCGTTGATGTCTTTTACTCTACCGAGTATTTTTGTTAATTTATTTATATGGTTAGTGTGATTGATTACACAATTACTTAAATATTTTGAAATATTAAATAGCAGGAAAATTATTAAAAAAAATATACCTAGCTCCAAAGTCGCCCTTATTTTGTAACATGACTTTCAATATCTTGCATCCTCGTTTGCGCACGCGTCCAAATTGCAGGGAGTTCTGGCTGAAGCAGAGGCTCATTCCCGTCGCGCTTCCACTCAAGCGCACCAGAGGCCTTTCGAAATTGAACACTTTCATATTTAACTGAAAGATAATGTTCACTTTTTAGCACTTTTTTTAAACTGCGTCGAAAACTCATTAAATACACGTGATAATGGAACTTCGCATATCCAACCTGAACATTGAGCGTGCTTATCATCCCAACAGGCTTGAATTGTATCTTCAGCGGTACTTTTCTGTATGGTTTTATTATGCATTTATTGGGCACCACCTTTAGTGAAGACAAAGCATTCTGTATGTCCATCGCAATTTGCTCCCGAATCTTGTCGTCTTTGTATGTTTGTAGCATTTTGACTCTGAGAAGATTTTAAAAACTCAAATTATTAATTATTATAACGTATTATCGGTTATACAGCCGGCTTTCGAAACCTTTTAGGTGCCTCAGACTAAAATAACCTAACACTGACCGCACACATAAAAAAGCTTGTCAAGCGAAAGAATTTCTATGTAATGGCGAAACCATTAACGACTGAAAAAGTTGCCAAAACGCGATGCAGCTTTGATGCAGTCGTTAAATGCGCCATTTTAACACACAATGCCATTACGGTCGCTGACGCTAAACTAGCTTGTGTGAAAGTTTTAACTCAAATATAGATTCGCAAGTTTTATAAAGTAAAAATACCTAGAAGGACCCGTGTCTGCTCCTTGTAGAGTATTGGCTGCGCTTGGGCTAAGACACACGCTAGTCGCTTCAGAATTGGTAGTGTCCTCTACCACTGGGTACATATCCCGGAATATAAACGTGGCTTCAATCGGCACTTTGCTGTGATTCATCACTTCTATTTGCCGAATTATTTTTTCGCCCACCTTCACAGCCCCGAGATCAAAGCTCTTTTGGCAACCTTCGTACAAATCAAACAATAGAGGCACACCTGGAATAGAAAACCAGTCGAATGAAGTTCCCAAGATTATGAGTTTGCTCATAAAAATATGTTTATCAATATTGTAAAATCACCTTCCCCTTTAATCGTGACAATTTCTTCGCATAATGAATTGACCCAAAACTGCAATTTGAACTCATATTCCTTGACTTGTTTTGGTCGGAAGAAAATTGGAATTTTCAATCGTTTGCCTGGTTCGATGTGGGCCATTTCTCCGTAGTCGACAAACAACTCGGCAACGTTGGAGAAGTTCAAGTCCAGACTGTAAATAAGTTTACATCATTGCGTGATTTAATTAGCTATGTAGTATGCTAAAGACTGGCTAAAAAATCATACATCAATGGCACTTTGTCCTCATTGATGAAAGCTATGTTTTTCTTGTAAGTAGGGTCTGGAGCATTGACGATGCACTTCCCGAAATCATATTCCATACACGAAAAGTGATAAGGCGGCTTCTCTATTTCTGCGTGAAGATATATGCTGTATTCTGGACCATCTGAAATCTAATTTGAGCTTTTATGTTTCCTCATCTTTCAAACAATTTTTGTAACTACGCAAGAATCCTTCAAAAACACTTTCAAAGAAAATATTACATGTCTATGCCTAATATTTATTTTTGACGTCATAGATTTTTATAGTCTTCTAGTAATTAACGTTACACCTATAAGGTCCCGCCGTGTAATTTACTCACATTTAGAGTAACTGGGAAAGCTTGTACAGGCACTTGTTTCAGTGTGAAGTAGAGTGTGCATTCGACTTCGTTCGCTGGTGTAACGTGACCACTCTTAGGTTCCACGCTGATTTGCAAATATTTCTTTACAGGACTACTGTTGTAGTGCCAGTCGAAAAAGAAGGTAGCTGAACCGTCATTTTTAATAGTGAAGGGGATCGTCCTCTCGTATGTTGAAGCAGTCTGTACAAGAAAGAATGCTTTTACTCTGAAATCCATATTTAGTTATCCATATTTATTATCTGATTCGTTACCTTACCTGGTCTAAGTGAATGTTCGTGATTGCGTCACTATTAAGCACATGCTCAGTCCCAATTAAATAGTACGTGACTTTTGGTTTAATTAAATAACTTAGAGCATTGACGCATAAAGTTAAAAACTTCGTCATGTAGGTGATGCTACAAAATATTTTGAATGAAAGCGGCCCGTCGTCTATTGGCGTATAAATAATTCTGAAATAAGTAAACGTATTTTAGTATCTTTTCCTTGGGAAATAATCATGATGATGAATCTTGCTTGCTTACTTGATAGGTGTTTCAGAGCGTGGCTTCAAAATCCCATGATCCGGGTCAACTATAACCGGTGTTTTACCAGATTCATTACATAACGAGTTTCCTTTGAATTCAAATCTCAAACCTTCATTTTCATTGTTCTTCAGTTTCACAATATGGGTCGTAGTAAAACTGACTAGCGAGTTCCTTATGATGAGGATAGTTGGTACAAACACTACTTCTGGTTCCCTGACTAGTCCCACGACTAGCAAATTCATAACTAAATTGTACACTGGTATAACAAACTTCCATTGGGATTCGTAAACCTGAAAAATCTCTAACCAATTAATTGACTGATCCTATTTAAAATAAATAAAGAAAACAAGTATTCGACAAACCCCAGGAGCTGTGGGAGAAAATGTAAATGTAACATCACTGGAAGTCCCACCCTCTACATAACCCTTCAACATATTGCAATGCACAGGGATCAGTTCAGGCTTGTCAGACATCACCATCTCAAATATGAACTCGTATGCTTCACTGGTAGGGTTGATAACGCTGAAAGTCCTATAAAGAAAAAAGAACAGATAATATTAGACGAGTCTTGATTCAACGGCTGTAGTAAGGCTTCATTGGGTATATTTTATGAATCTGTTGTTGTATTTAACTCCAGCCAGATGATAAAATAAGAGGTCTCTGATGATAGAATAAGAGGTTCAGTCAAAAGATATTTGTGCGTACTTTTTATAACACCCTGAACCAAGTACATTGAATTCCAAGACTGTCATGTGTGGAGGCAGCGCCACTCCTGTCACCTTTCTACGCCCCGAAGTGAGATAATCGCTTTCCTCGATATCCAGGTGGCAATACGGGATCAAGGATTTGGCAGTTATTTTACAGGTCGCGTTTTGATCATACGGATCTAAATTCTCTGTGAAAAATTTAAGTTGATATTGATCGTTATGGTGAAATGTCTTCAATCAAATATATTTATTGGAAATTCGTTAACTTACTTACCTATGGTACTCTTTAGTTTAACTTTAAAATCAAATGCCTCTAATGGAGCGAACGTAACTTTGAAAGTACGACTCTCTCGGGGCTTGAGACATTCTTTTGCAGGTTGTATCTCGAATGGAAGATCTATCTCAAACCAAGTATCTACACTTTCCCTGTCTGCACTTCCACTAAATAATGTAACCTTGCTGGGAGCTGAGGAGGAAATATCTAAGTCATTCAATCTTATATATATACTAGCGGCCGCCCGCGACTTCGTACGCGTGAATCCCGTTTTTCCCGCTAATTCCCGTTCCCGTGGGAATTTCGGGAATTCCTTTCTTAGTGCACCTCTATGGTACCTAAGCTACGTCCCTTCCAAATTTCAAGTGCCTACGTTTAGCCATTTAGGCTGTGCGTTGATCTGTCAGTCAGTCAGTCAGTTTCTCCTTTTATATATTTAGTAGATATACAGGNTATAACATATTATCGGTTATACAGCCGGCTTTCGAAACCTTTTAGGTGCCTCAGACTAAAATAACCTAACACTGACCGCACACATAAAAAAGCTTGTCAAGCGAAAGAATTTCTATGTAATGGCGAAACCATTAACGACTGAAAAAGTTGCCAAAATGCGATGCAGCTTTGATGCAGTCGTTAAATGCGCCATTTTAACACACAATGCCATTACGGTCGCTGACGCTAAACTAGCTTATGTGAAAGTTTTAACTCAAATATAGATTCGCAAGTTTTATAAAGTAAAAATACCTAGAAGGACCCGTGTCTGCTCCTTGTAGAGTATTGGCTGCGCTTGGGCTAAGACACACGCTAGTCGCTTCAGAATTAGTAGTGTCCTCTACCACTGGGTACATATCCCGGAATATAAACGTGGCTTCAATCGGCACTTTGCTGTGATTCATCACTTCTATTTGGCGAATTATTTTTTCTCCCACTTTCACAGCCCCGAGATCAAAACTCTTTTGGCAACCTTCGTACAAATCAAACAATAGAGGCACACCTGGAATAGAAAACCAGTCGAATGAAGTTCCCAAGATTATGAGTGAGCTCATAAAAATATGTTTATCAATTGTAAAATCACCTTCTCCTTTGATCGTGACAATTTCTTCGCATAATGAATTGACCCAAAACTGCAATTTGAACTCGTATTCCTTGACTTGTTTTGGCCGGAAGAAAATTGGAATTTTTAATCGTTTGCCTGGTTCGATATGGGCCATTTCTCCGTAGTCGACAAACAACTCGGCAACGTTGGAGAAGTTCAAGTCCAGACTGTAAATAAGTTTACATCATTGCGTGATTTGATTAGCTATGTAAAGTACGGCCAACGAGAAGCGATACCAAATGTAAACAAAACCAATGTCATGGTCATTTGGAATAGCATTAAATAGAATTTGGGTTTGACTTTGACATATTTTGGCGGGAGAACGAGACATTAAGACAAATACACAAGATGGGAAGAGACAGAATAGATTGTCTGTCTGACTATGCTAAAGATGGCTAAAATTCATACATCAATGGCACTTTGTCCTCATTGATAAAAGCTATGTTTTTCTTGTAAGTAGGGTCTGGAGCATTGACGATGCACTTCCCGAAATCATATTCCATACACGAAAAGTGATAAGGCGGCTTCTCTATTTCTGCGTGAAGATATATGCTATATTCTGGACCATCTGAAATCTAATTTGAGCTTTTATGTTTCCTCATCTTTCAAACAATTTTTGTAACTACGCAAGAATCCTTCAAAAAACACTGTCAAAAAAAATATTACATGTCTTGCCTAATACATATTTTTCACGACAGTTTTTTATATTAGTTATTCTAGTAACACCAATAAGGACCCGCCGTGTAATTTACTCACATTTAGAGTAACTGGGAAAGCTTGTACAGGCACTTGTTTCAGTGTGAAGTAGAGTGTGCATTCGACTTCGTTCGCTGGTGTAACGTGACCACTCTTAGGTTCCACGCTGATTTGCAGATATTTCTTTACGGGACTACTGTTGTAGTGCCAGTCGAAAAAGAAGGTAGCAGAGCCGTCATTTTTAATAGTGAAGGGGATCGTCCTCTCGTACGTTGAAGCAGTCTGTACAAGAAAGAATGCTTTTAGTCTGAAATCTATATTTAGTTTATTTTTATATCGAGCTTATTATCTGATTCGTTACCTGGTCTAAGTGAATATTCGTGATTGAGTCACTATTAAGCACATGCTCATTCCCAATTAAATAGTACGTGACTTTTGGTTTAATTAAGTAACTTAGAGCATTGACGCATAAAGTTAAAAACTTCGTCATGTAGGTGATGCTACAGAATATTTTGAATGATAGCGGCCCGTCGTCTATTGGCGTATAAATAATTCTGAAATAAGTAAACGTATGTTAGTATCATTTTCCTTGGGAAATAATCATGATGATGAATCTTGCTTGCTTACTTGATAGGTGTTTCAGAGCGTGGCTTCAAAATCCCATGATCCGGGTCAACTATAACCGGTGTTTTACCAGATTCATTACATAACGAGTTTCCTTTGAATTCAAATCTCAAACCTTCATTTTCATTGTTCTTCAGTTTCACAATATGGGTCGTAGTGAAACTGACTAGCGAGTTCCTTATGATCAGGATAGTTGGTACAAACACTACTTCTGGTTCCCTGACTAGTCCCACGACTAGCAAATTCATAACCAAATTGTACACTGGTATCACAAACTTCCATTGGGATTCGTAGACCTGAAAAATCTCTAACCAATTAATTGACTGATCCTAATTCAAATAAATAAAGAAGACAAGTATTCGACAAACCCCAGGAGCTGTGGGAGAAAATGTAAATGTAACATCACTGGAAGTCCCACCCTCTACATAACCCTTCAACATATTGCAATGCACAGGGATCAGTTCAGGCTTGTCAGACATCACCATCTCAAATATGAACTCGTATGCTTCACTGGTAGGGTTGATGACGCTAAAAGTCCTGTTAAAAAGAGCAGATCGGTCACTTTGGTTTTAGAATCTATCGTTACATACTCCAAAGGCAAAAACACCTGTCATGATGATAAAAGAAGATGCTGCAGTAGAACAAAATTGTGGTGTATATTTGTACGTACTTTTTATAACATCCTGAGCCAAGAACATTAAATTCCAAGACTGTCATGTGTGGAGGCAGCGCCACTCCTGTCACCTTCCTACGCCCCGATGTGAGATAATCACTTTCTTCGATGTCCAGGTGGCAATATGGGATCAAGGATTTGGCTGTTATTTTACAGGTCGCGTTTTGATCATACGGATCTAAATTCTCTGTGAAAAATTTAAGTTGATATTGATCGTTATGGTGAATTGTCTTCAATCAAATATATTTATTGGAAATTCGTTAACTTACTTACCTATGGTACTCTTTAGTTTAACTTTAAAATCAAATGCCTCTAACGGAGCGAACGTAACTTTGAAAGTACGACTCTCTCGAGGCTTGAGACATTCTTTTGCAGGTTGTATCTCGAATGGAAGATCTATCTCAAACCAAGTATCTACACTTTCCCGGTCTGCACTTCCACTAAATAATGTAACCTTGCTGGGAGCTGAGGAGGAAATATCTTATAAGTCATTCAATTTAATATAATTCTTAATGTATTTGGATGCTTTATACCTTTTTCTTCCTTTTTTTCTGTCGCCTGTGGTTCTGTTGAAGTGTTTCCTCCCTTTTCAGCCCCAGTTTCAACTGCGATCGTAGATTCAGGAGGCTTTTCACCTATCTATAAAACTACGTTCGTTAACTATCTCTTTATTTATATCACGTATTTAGAAAATCTGAAAAGTTGCACTTTACCTTGTCTTTTGTAATATACTTGTCGATCCTTGCAGGATATTCGTCGTCAATGACAAAGTTCCATGCCATTTTCAATGGTACGTTCCCAATGTTTTGCACTTTGAATTCGAATCTCCTAGTCTGTGAAATTATATTTCGTTCGTTCATTATCTTTACTAACATCATAACTACTTCGTTTGATTAAATTGGTTATATTTACTTGATAGATAAAAGTATCCTTCAATATCTTTTCTTCTTTCAATGTACAAGAATACTTCGTGTATTCTGTCGTGGCTGAATATACTATAATCATGTGAATAACACCAAAACAATCTTCTGATGTTGGCATTGGTTGTTCATCAATTATGGTTTCACAGCGTTCATTCAGTCTCGCTTCTCTGCAAATATTAGAGAAAAAGTGTTTATTTCAATCTAAAAACTTCTGTAATTTTATAAGAACGTGATAATTACCTATTTTGACCAAAAAGTGTAATTATTTGTCGATTATCCCAAGTAGTCCCTTTCAAATCCATTGTTAATGTGTCGTCATTTATTGCTGTTAATGTACAGTTGAGTAATTCCTGAAAAAACGTTACGGGGCAAAGTTTTCATTTGGATCTCTATTCATAAATAAAAAGCTCTATTACATACTTGTAAAAAGTAAAACACTTGTATTAGTAAACACCTTTTTCAGTACTACAGGCTGTGCTGAAAAGAACATTATTTCTAAGTCTTTTTCCTCGCCAGGTGAAATGTAGCCCATGGACGGTTTTATGCAAATATTCTCCACATTTATCCATTCAAACTTGTATACTTTTTCAGAATTGTTTACCATTACAACTGATCGTTTTTGTACTGAACATATCTCACATCCGCCTGTGATAAAAATTAAAATTTTGTATTCAGTAATGCATTGTAAAGACAAAAGCGTTGAAAACAAACGCGATTAGTACTTGAAACATACCAAAATCTAGTACATATTTTAACACAGACGGATCCAAACTTCCCGATTCACTCTGCTTCATAGACCCCACCGACGTTCTTTTGCTTTTCTTTGGTTCTATTGCTCTAGACTTTTTCCTTTCACCTTTATCAAGTGTCGCACTTTTACTTTTCTTTCGACTGTCAACCGTGGAAACCGTCGACATTGTCCTGGAGTAACGTAAACCAGTATAAATTATAAATTATTAGCATTGTATGTATGTTCGTTCTTACATTATTTCATTATCTTATCTTACCCGTCTATAGAAGTCCTGTATGCTTCTAAATCCATATCCATTGAGAGCATCTCAAGGCCTAACAATATGACATCTTCCATAAAAGCTTCGCCTTCACATAAAATCTTAAAACAAGGATTTAAATTAAAAAGCAAATAAACATTAAAATATATAATAGCACATGAATAAATTAATAACTCTACCTAATCTTCTTACCGTGAAGTACTCGAAAGGATTATCGACAATCGTTAATTTCACATCGCAACCAATTCTGCCTTTCCTGAATGGGTTATAATGAACCATTAGTGTAGCGATTTCCGATGGCTTTATGATAACTTTCATTGATATATTCTCTTTATCTGCAAATTGTAATTTCAAGTTATGTTATTCAATTTAGGTTAATATTTAACGATTGATTAAAGATTACCTACCGTTGTTTCCAACTACGATTATGTGTTCATTGTCTGTGGCAGCAGTCAGCCAAAAAACAGGTCTTTCGTCGTAGGATGGCTGACTGACAGTCGCTATGACCATACTTTTCACAGAGCTTATATTTTTAAATCGAATAGGCTTATTGCTTATTGAACCAAGACATGTTACTGGGAACTGCAGTAAAGAAATCCTGTGATGCCTTATTTGCGGGGACACCAATCGTATTCTAGGTATCACTCCCTCGCCTATCAAGCATATTTTGAATGATTGCTCTTGGTTATCAAGTAGCTTTAATTTGATTTCTAGAACTGCTCGGTACTCCTAAAACATAAACATTAATATTTGCTTAACAACTCTAAATTGAAGTAGGGCAATTAAAACAGATGTAAGTTATGTCTTATCTTATTTACCTGAAGAGATTTGGGGCTAAATATGATCCCCAGAGACTTATGCAACAGTGGTTCTATATGAGTCTCATATTTATCCAACGAAAATATGTCTTGGTTTGAGTTGGACTGATAGTGTAGCTTCATCTTCAAAGCGCAGGCCACCAATCCATTATTGTAAAGATCTATGGCTCCCATTAAGTTAGTATTTACAGTCACGCAAAAGAAATGTAGTGTAACAGAATCTTCCACGAATACACAATGCGGTGACGACTGAAAATGTACATTATTATCGGAAATGGTAATAATTATGTTGAAAAATAATTCAGACAAATTAATCAGATCATTCACCTCAGGAACTTTGTATTCCGATAAGCTTTTGACTATCAAGTGCTCTCTAAATGTAGTTTCCAAATTCCAAAAGTCTAGAGTAGGCATTGCTCCCGTGCCCACAAGTCTCAGAGGCACGCCCTGCGCTTCAGCAGGACACGTGTCACTTATAATGAATTTGATAGTCTCCTCAAATTTTCTTGCAGCTGTTGCCAGGAACTGCATGCTTATCGTTCTACTTGTTCCAGGAGCAAGAAGATTGTCATCATTCATTATTAGGAAATTCCCACATTTTAGTGGAGGATTTTTTATTCTGTAAACCAGAGAGACAACGAAATAATTTTCAGACCAAAGACATGACCATTTCTACGTTTGTATTAAACTTACTTGTTATCTTTAACTTTCGCCTGAAGAGGATTATCTGGATCTGGTTGATATTGCTTTGGTAGAACTATTTCGTATGTTACGGGACATTTACTCGTGTTATTCAGAATAACTTCTCTCATGACTCCACTTCCAACCGGTATGATGTGGAAATTCAACTCACCCAATGGGAAAAGAGTAAACCTAAACATAAATATAAATAAGTACGAATAAGTCTGTTAAAAAGCGATGTTACTTTATGATGTCTTAAATACGTACGTGTTGTAGAATGATGCTATTGTGACGTAAACAGGAAACTTTGCCACCACAACTTGATCCTTGCTGCCGTCCAACAAAGAGCAAATGTACGCCGGGACGTTCACCAAGTTCATAGATGATGTCGGAGTACATTCAAATTCAATGGTGACCAATTTCAGAGTAGATGGTATGAGACCACATTCAGGTGTTGCCTCAAAAGATCGTAGAAGCGACGGCTCTGGGAAGTTCTTGACTTTTTTTAGCCTAAAAGACAATGTTCAGTTAAGTAGAATTATGTTAGATCAATACAGATTGACTGGAAAACATACTCTACAATTTCTGGAAAAACAAATTAATGGATGTGATTAATATCCTTACTTGAAGTAGATGTTATATTTGCCTCTATTCAACAAATACATTTCTCGGATAACAGTTGAGTTGACCTTAACATTGCCATAATTAAGTAAAGTCTCATTAGGGTTTTCATAGGCACATTCGACCATGACATCGTAACATTCTGCAGATAAAAAGAGTGTGTCGATGACCATAGGATCACCTCGTCCCTCAGCATCGTAGATCTAAAAAGATACATGAAGAAGAAGAAAGATACATGTAATACAGTTATAACTAGCAATTACACTTCTAAACCTCTTGAATCACTCTTATCTATAAATGAAAACTGCATCAAAATCCATTGCGTAGTTTAAAAAATTTAAACGTACAGAGAGGTGGGCGCCGATATAAAATTGGCCGGCGGCGGCGCGCCGACTTTTTGACCTCGGCGGCGGCGGCGTCGGCGGCGTGACCTTGTATGACCTTTGTTCATCAGGTATTTTTTTAATCTGTTTTNTAGACGGAATTATTTTATGCTATGTAGAGATAGAGACTTCAGAGTTCTTATATGTATTATCATGTATCCATTTACTTACGTCAATTATAAGCGGCTTATGTCCAATGACTCCGACTCTACAAGCAATGTAGGTTACAGGAACGACTTGATTGTCATGCCTGGGAACAATCCCTGAAGTTTGAGCGATTATGAAGTCTTCAATGAAATCTGAAGCATTTCGAATCTTCCACATAACAGGCAATATAGAGTCGTTTTTGACAATAAACCTATCATCCTCTCTTCGGTATAATAGTAGTTTTCCATACTCTAAAATAAATAAAAGACTGCATTGAAAAAACCGAAGTATCATCATTACAATTTTATGTAATTGTGTTGATTTTACCAATCATTTTAGTGAGTGGTAAGATTTCCACTACTGGCAATACTCCGCTACATGCAATGTTGACAGTTACTATCTCAGGATTGTCTTTGACGCAGAACAACAAGACAACTTGATGCACTCCCACGTCTGCTGGGGCAGCAGATATCGTCAACTTTCCTCTACATCCAGGCTGTAAAGGAAATGGTGAATTTAATTATCTTCAATGATTATTTCATTTTTAATGATTTATTTCAAAATAGACTCACCTCTAAACGAATAAATGTTTTATCTATTTGGAAGATCGTTGTTTCTTCCAAAAACTCTATTTCAATGTCAGCTGTTATCAATGAAGAATTTTTCAAATCGATGACATATTCCTCCTCATAGATCCTACAATCAACATTTATTTTATGTTAAACATATTTATTTTGTGGCAGACCGGTCTTGACGGTTAATGAAATGGTCATTATTTTGTTGCCTGCTTATTACCTGTTAGCTCCCACAAAAATAGGGCCAAATTCAAATAATTTCAGGTCATCCAAGTATGTTATTTTGTATACATTGTCTTCTAGCGTTCTTCTAACAAAATTTTCGAACATTTTCTTAGGTCTGCTATCCAATCTGTAACATTTATTTCAGTTGGGTAGGTACTCTTATACGCACTTTGGTCTAAGCATTTGTTAGTATGAAACTTATATTACCTTGGTAAATCACATATTCCATTCACATTGATATCTACTCTTGATTCTGGCCACCCGCTAACTTCAACGAATCGTTTCACACTGAAATTTCCTTCCAACTGTGGGCTGAACGAATATTTACAGCGGACTAGGTCGCCAGGGTGAAGAACTAAACGGTCAGAGTGGGCTAAAAGAAAAATTATTGAACAATATTTTGTCACAGACGTCACTTTAACTTATTACTGACTGCATTCAAGTTAGATCGACAGTTATTCGAAGGTTGTTGAAGAAAATGATTACCTGATGTCGACTTAACGCTACGCAAAGGTAGAGGCTGAAAGATTTCCTCCTCGCTGTCTTCTTCCACTAACTTTTCGATTGATGTAGATGGTATCTCACTTGTAGATGTTTGCGACGAAGTGACCTTAGAAACAGTTGATTTGTGTTCATTTTATTCCGTTAATTATTAAAAAATCATCTCTCTTAAAGAAAATTGATAGGTACCTTTTTGCCACACGTGCAATGCCATTTAGAAAGAATATTTAAAACATTATCTTGCGTGGTATCATCCAATAAATTAAGGTCAGTGAGTTGATTACATTCACATTTCTTAATCTGAAATAATAAAATTTTTAAAATAAATTCTGTGTATAATCAAAAAAATTACTAAGTTAAATACGACTCATGAAATACGAAACCGGAAGTTCATCCAAGTATCGCCACTTCAAAGGATCTTCATGATGTATGTGTGGAAAGCTTTTTGGCAGTAACACGGTAAATTCTTTTCTGTTCACGGGACATTTTAGAATATCATATTCTTCTTCTTCCCTCAACGCTTCTTGAACCAGTGGTGAACTTTCAAACATTCTGATTAGCGCTTTTTTATAGCGAAGACATGGACACATTATTAACGTTAGAGGGAACCCCCTCTCAGAAAAGCTGACATCAGATATCTGAAAATGTTAATTTGATAACGTCAGTTGTAACGTTAAGTTTAATTAATTGTAGTAATTATTGCAAATTCACCTGTAACTGAACTTCTGACTTCTTTTTTGCTTTTTTTTGAGCGGCACCTACGACCTGACCATTGAAACCGTAAAGTGGACTCCCTATATCACATTCTTCTATAACCCAATTATTAGCCATATTGATAAGGGTTTCATATGTGTTTTTCATATATTCGTTGTACTTAGTGTTCATAAGGACATACTCGTTAGTCGGTTTAGCTGAAAAATGATCCACTCATTGTTGGTTTATTAAACTACCTTTCTATATTTGTATAAAAATATTATACCTTTAGCATCGTCCTTTTTAATTTTCTTTTTTGATTCAGAGCCATCAATCACCAATAAAGATTTGCTTCGATCTGCCAAAAAATGATAACTTTATGAATGAATCCACGACATCGACGTGACATACGTTAATACGAGTAATAAGTTAATTCCTGGCTTACCTCTACCACCTTTATCTTTTTTTAATACTTCACTGGGATATCTACAAAAATAAGTCGATTAACAAAGAAATATTTTTGTCAAAAGTTTAAAAACAACTTAGTGAGCAGTTACCCTCTCTTTTCAAATAGTTTCCTGCGCCTCATTTCTAAGCCATAGGATACGTATATTGATTTTAATTCAGGAGGGGATGTGCTGTATTCCTCGTCGTCCATTTCTTCAAAAGATTTTATAATTTCTTCAATTTCCGTTTCATCATATACTTTTGAAACATTTCTGCAACACGACCCAAATCTCGATATAAATACTTACTTCAAATATTATTTTACCTAGAAACATATTATTGTAACTTACTCATCAATCAGATCATTTTCCCGCTGCGCCTCCTCGTAAGCTTGAGCCCATTTGTAAAAATCAGAATGACACAAAACAAGATGTATGTTCCATATGCTAGTTTTGCACTTCAGAACTGAAGATAGCACAACAGGGGGACTTTTCAACATGATACTTGTTAGAGAATCGACCACAAATCCACGATTGAATTTTGGTTGACTAAAGAAATCAGTTAGAAGTTCTGTAACCAAATCCTGAAATGATACAATGGTTTTAAAATACAATATCACTTTCGTTTGCTAAACTAAATGATAATAAAGTATAACCATGTGAAACATTGTTGAAGACCCCAACGCTCCCAGAGCTGTATGAGAAGCAATCGAAGATGTAGGCGACTTTTTCTTCTTTTTATCGCTTGCTTTAGATCTAGGTGTACCAACGTTCTTATTGTTGGCCATGAACTCGATTTTCTTCCAAATAATTTCAAACTCATCTTCTGTATCTCCAAACACCTCTAAAAATGCTTTGTTAATTTAAGGAACGATTGTAGATACTATTGAACAAGTAAAGTAAATAATACATAACAGATTACATAAATAAATATACCAAACAAATACTTTACCCACCAAAATAAAATGCACTTCTTAATAATTATTTATAAATATGAATTAAACATATCAAAGTTGGTCAGTGGAAAAAGAAATGTTTATATGTTTTAAAAAAGCAATAGTTTTCCAAACGTAGAGAAAACTAATATTTTGACATATAAAATACCTTCAGAATCTTCCTCGTTCGTATCAGAGTCACCTCTCATGCCAGTTTTTCGTGACATTTGATACATTTCATTGATTGCGCTCACTAAAATAATTTTGGCTGCGCAATTACTCTCACACAGTGCTTGCACGATACAGAAGTCAATGTTAACAGTTGGTATGCCTAGGCTTTTCCCCAATGAATAAGCTATTTCTTGACAGTGAATTTCTGTAGGAGATGGGGTTTATAAAATAATTTAACTAAAGCTTTCGTAATCGGCCAATGCTAAAAGCAATCGGCTCTAAGATTGCACGAATAACGATTAGGACATATACCTTCACAAGGAGAGCCATGCACAAATATTATGATTCCTTTGGAACGCCTATCAGTTCCAGAATCAGTAGATATGTGATCAAATACGTGCAAACATTCTTTCAGAGGATCTACTCTATTTTCCTTCATCGATCTTATTTCATCTGAAAATAATCTTCATTGTATTATTTTGTTGCTCTTAATATAAATGTAATGTTTTAAGTTTGAGTTTATTACCTGCTATAATCTCAGCTTCAGTTCGGAATTTCCTTGGTTGGACCTCTTTAGTCGTTGCAGATTTTGGAGCTGTTTTTGGACTTTTCGCCTTTCTACAATACAAATTATATTAATAACACATAGAAATATTATTGACTTAATTATGTAAATAAAAGTTATAGGAAACATACTTTGCAGCTGCTGGTGACATTTTAGCACTGGCTGCTTTCATAGCAGCAGCTTCCTCGTCAATGCTCCTGAAACATTAAATTAATAAAAATAATTAAGTTGATAATGTTTTACATGATGCATGTTAGTGTATTAGTTTGCTCTTACTTTTTAACATTTTCGTTGAATTTCTTATAAAAGTGAACTATTTCACTAGGCATTCCAGCACCTGGCCTTATTGCAGGTACTAACATTTCTTCAGGTTTATTGTAATACTTATAAAGTAACTGATACATTTCTTCCTCTTCTTTCCATTTGCTGAAAAACGTGTACAGAGTTTCATCGTCAAAAAAACGTTCGCAATTACAACATGATCAATTTTTAAGATCTTATTAATCAACTTACATGTCACTGTGGGCTATTATCAGTTCAATTGGAAACGGGCAAGGATTCGTGAGTCCGAAGTAAATATCAGTGGTCTCTGCCCACGGGAGAGTGGGTGGGAAGTTAACGTTAGGTCCTATTATGTGCACATGTGGCAAAATGCCTTGTCCTGTTACTGGTATGGTCATTCTGTTTGGATTCATGTGGAATCTGAATATTAGTAGACCTTCGTACGTCATCTATTATGCAGAAAAGTGTGTTTATTTATTTTGATTGAATTCATCTTATTAGTTAAAAGCTTTAGAAGCTTGGAAGTTACCTCCATATTAGGTTTGAAAGCAACACTTAGCCATCCACCTTCGCCTGGTTCATATTTTCCAGAACTGTCCAAAACCATCATAGGATTATGACCAGGAGCTTTCAAACGCAATGTGACATACCATATACAAGTTGGTTTGCCTCTGTAAAAAAGCAGTAGGTAATCTCTAGAAGTTATAGTTTTCCTAACACCACTTTAAATGTAACACTATAAACATGTTGTAAATCTTACACATTTTTAAGGGGTATAGATGAAATGATCTTGTCCCCACACCTCACAGAACCAAAATTAATTGTTGAAACATTGGATATTAAGTATGGAACTGCACATAAAGCCTTGATGTAAATTGGGATAGTAACTCCATACGGGACCTGAGAAAAACAGTGCATTTAAGTTTCTGGTCAAAATACCAATTATAATGTAAAGAATAAATGTATGATTTTATTTACTTCTAAATTGAAAAAAGTTTCGACATTCTGTTCCAACTCCGTAAAATCATTTGAAGTAGGAGCAAACGTCACTTCCAGCTTTCCTGTTTCACCAGGAACTAATTTCCCGCAAAGTTTCAGACCCAGCCAAGTGGGAACTTGGGTTCCTTTTGCAAAATGTAATTTGGTGGGAATTGGTCCGTAGTTTATTATTTCAGCTGTACATTGCACCTATAAAATGTGTTATATTTAATACTTTACAATAATTCGTCATTTCCGAAACGATAACGTAATAACGTATAATCATCACAAGGTGTAAACCTAGTATTTATAGAATTGGCTACTTACTGTGCTACCGGTAATCACCACACCATAGTCAATCACATAAGGAGTGGTTTGAAATCCAGGAATTGGTCCCATTTTTGATGAAGTTGAATATGCAGTTAATAACTCTGGTTTAAGTTTTATGTGGTTAATTACTAGCATTCTCTCTATTGCTAACTCAATGTCCATGATAGATGGATATCCATCCTGTAGATATAATATTAAACATCGATACATAAGTAGGTAAGATAAGTAGGTGTATATTATTATAATGTGTCCTGTGAAATACCATAGACTGATTCTTACATACCCAAGCAGAACAGATATGCCAATCTTGCTGAAAATCAGGATCTTCAAAACATTTTTCAGTCAGCGGCGAATTTAAATGTTCTGAAGTACCTTTCATGAAAAATTCGCTTACTGCTTCCAAATACTCCATTGTTAATGTAGGAATTGCTTGATATCCATATTCTGGGTTCAGCTAAAAAAGTTATGAAATAGATTTTCATAAGGAAGGTGAAATAGGTACTTGTTATGAAACCTTATTAACTTACCATAATCATGCTGGGTCTTTGTAGAGATAAGTAAACTTGAGGAATTACACCCCAACCAAATATTTCTATAGGGATATGCGGTAAATGGCCGATTTCTAATAAAAACACCCTATTAAAGTAACCGACCACGCCAGGTCGCACTATAATTTTTATTTCAGCCTCTTCTTCGGGGTCCAATATTTTTTCAGGAGGCACGATATCGAGAATAGTGCCTTCAAGTTCATTTTCAAATTTAGGCTCATTCAAATACGTTTTATACTCAAAAGGCAATTGAGCGACGTTAAGTAAGAACAATTCTTCGGAGGCGTGCTCATGAAAAGATCTTATTTTGAAATTCAACTTCTGTGTATTTAGTTTATACATTAAGTCTGAACTCTGTCCTGTAACAATAACAGTTTCAGGTGGCCCTCCCAACACCTCACATTCTAGTATTGCCCGTACATTGATATTAGCTCTTGGCCTGAATATCACATGAACGAATTGAACCTCATTCGGTTTGAGTAATCCTCGATGTGGTATCAATTGTAGAACTTCATTCAAGTTTATTTTTGTGGGTTTGCTTATCTTTGCAAACTTATAAATCCACGGAAATTCTGACTCAATTTGTGAGTCTATCATGGGTGCCACTTTCTTCATGATTCTAGTTTTTTTGAACTCGAATTCTTCTTCAGAGTCATCCAAACTTGACTCTACAGCTGTTATATCATGTACAGTTGATATAATTTCCTTTGGAATCCCTTCTAATTCTGCAGCTTTATCTAAACCTTCGTCTGGTGTATGACAAGCCATAATTTCGTGCAAGTCACCAACTATAAGCACAGTCAAAATAAAATTGTATATTTATAGTTTCAGTAGATATATTTAAACGTTTATAAATAAATTCCGTGTTTATAAGTAAATTCTTACCACTAGGTTCAGTCGCGTCGGTTAAAGATTTGGGTTCTGTTATGTTACTACCGTACTCATTTTTCGGTACTTCAAATTGTGGCTGATCAAAATTAATTAAAATTATTAACTTATTTACCGTGTCTACAAAAAAGAACCAACGAATGTTGTCAAACTTACCAACGTCAACGTGCTAATGATACATTTTTTCCACTGAAACCTATAACAAACTAAAAGTGGTGTTATGTTTTGTATCTTGATTGTTTTGCTCTCTAAACTTCCATTTAAAATGCATTGGAAATCCACTCTTGGCGACAACACAAAGATATTTGGAAAATTTATCTTCCCTATCAGTTTGATTGCATCCTGTAATGTATCATAATTATGAATTTAATAAACTGAATGTTCACAGTTAAAGCTAGGTATATTGTGAGTTACTCGCCTTATTTTTATGACCTTTGAATTTAACTCTCATTAGGTCACAGTACACTTTGGATTTAAGAGATAAATGTTTCGTGGTATCAAATAAGATTTGGATTTTCATAACTTCCTGATCTTCTAATGTTTCCTCTACAGCATGTGTCAAGTTAAATGCCATTTTAATTTTATTAATGTCTTGAAAGAAGTGCAAGGGTTCTTTTCTTAGGGGTTCAACTGGCTTTAGTGTCAAGTAATCAATGAATATCCGCGATTGGCAGGGACCGACTTCACTTATAAGATTTGGTACATTCAAATCAGATTCTTTGTAGCATATACAGCAACATAAATTTTCTTCTTCGGGCAGTATTTTATACGTTTCTTGTTTCTGTATTATGGCAAACGGTGGCTTCACACTTATATCCATGTCCAAAGGTAACTTAGAAACATTTTTGATTGTAACAATATCTGCAATAAAATTATGTTTACATAATAAAAAGACACATGAGACCCAAGTCGTAAATTTTTCACGGCAACAATAGATTTCAATACCTGTTAATTTGTAAAATTCACTGTAGGGCCCATAATCGTACTGAAAATCAATCACCGACGATGATACCTCTATCTTAGGATCCACAAATTCAGCAGCTATTTGACATTCTAACAACAATTCTTTTTTATTAATCCCTTCGACGCTACCGACTAGATACCACATTTCTTTGATAGTGGTCACTTTGTAAGATAATCCTGTGATTGCCAATTCTAATTTTTCACCGGCAGCCATTTTAAACACTTTAGGATCCAGATTGAAAAATCCTCTAGAAATAACAAAAATAATATTAAGGCTGCTCCTCATACTAACAATAGGAATGTAACCTTGATAAAGTCAAAGCCTTACACAGTGTGGGTCTTCGTTTTAGGAGCCTTATAATGTTCGCTCCATTCAAGTGCGTGCATACGCGTTCCACAATTTTCCATTGTCACTTTGCAATTTAAAGGGATTTTTGTGAAATGTCGGCCCAAGAATATTCTGTCTCTCAGTTCTCCAACTAATATACTAGTTCCAACTCCAGTGGCCGATAAAGGGACTAGCTAAATATAAAAACAAAACAATGAATATTTGTACATTTTAAAAATAAATTAACAATAATCAAAATATACTTACAATATCTTTTACTTTTTCTAACTGCAGTACTGCTTTGTTTGTATAAGTATCAGCATCAAGCAAGTATAGAGTCAAAAGTAGATCGGTCTCAGATTCAGGGTCAATATGACCGTCAGTTGGATGAATATGCCATCTACCGTCTTTATTCAACTATGTGAAGTAAACGACGTCGTTATCGTTATCGTTATCAACTTCAAATAACTAACACACATTAAGTAACTTAATAAAAATATTGAATCATTTCTTACCAGAGAAGCTTTGAAATTTACTTGAACGGGAGAGTCATTGCAGAGTGTCAGTATTTTCTGTGATTTGGTCAACAGCTTAACTTGACCCCAATGTAGAGCTATCGGTGTACATGTCACTATTGGTCGCACTCCACACCCAGTTATGTGACAGACTTCTATAGGTTTTGATTGTCCAAATAGGTGTAATCTGTTCCAAAAAGCATTGAAAGTTACTACTTTACTCTAAATTCTAAATAATTTTTATGTAACATTTTGAAACGTGTCTTTACTTGATTCCATATTCTTGGACACCAAGGATACTCGTTTTTATTGTGACGGGCAAACATATTGTACTATTTGGTTCGATTAAGCCTTCCTTTACACTGACATCCACCTCTAATGTTGATTCTTCCTGAAATCGTCGAAGTAAAATAACATGCCAAAATCAAATTGTACCTAATATTTTAAGTGTAAATGGCATTATGAAAAAAATACTTACATCCGGCTCTACCAGCGTGAAATACCCCCAAAATTCATTTGAAGTGACACATATTTCACTTTTATAAGCATAATCCAAAAAACACGCACGCAGCTTGATTTCAGGTGCAAGTGAAATTTCAGGAACCATCGCATTAAAAGTTACTGGTAGAACGATAGGCGGGCTATCAGATTTTTCTAATTCCAGTTCGAGCGACGTCTGATTGGCTCTTATTAAATTCGCTGTCAGCGTAACCTGTAATGGGTTCATTTTATCAAATATCCATTATGAAATTCTTTTATGCACCTGATCTAAAGAAAAATCTTATCATACCTTTAAAGAAACTCTAGATTCTGCTTCCATATCAATCTTGCAAGGTTCAATATTGAATTCCCTCGGCCACTGAGGAACTTCAGGCTTTGGTTTGTCAGTGACAGCATAGTCTACTAGAGTAATGCTGCTTATTTCAGGGCCATCGGATGAAATCTTCACAGAGCCACGCACGTGAACCACTGACTCGTTGATGACGTCTAACTCCAAAGTTTTTGGTACCCCTATTACAGTAGATAAATTACATTATGTGTTTCGTGTGTACTTCGAAAATATGAATAGAAAATGATTCAAGTGCCTTACCCAGGCTAACCATGCCAAAATCTAAACATGGTACACTGAACATCAGGGATGGATAGATAACTTCACCCCTGAAATAAATAGAGCCTCCTTATTAGTATCAACCTGCTAAACAATATTTTAAATCACAAACAGTAATTCGACTTACTTTAAATATAATTTCAGCACCACTTTAGTATCACGAATTATGAAGTTTATTTCCTCAAAGTAAGGACCCTGATTGGAGTTGCAAAAAGATATGACAAAAACCTCCTTGTCGCCTGGGCGTAAGCAATGCAACTCAGGCGAACACGTAATTCGACTACCGAATAAAGTTGGGACTTCCTTGTACACTATCACTCCATTGATATGCCCTGAAAATTGAGAGTAAAAGCACGAAGACTTATTTCATGTAGACAATTTAAAAGATATCAAAGAATAGGTACATAAATAACGTACCTTTATTAATAGCAACTACTTCATAGTTATATGTTTTGTTGATATAAACGCAATCCATGTCCAGAGTTTCCAAGTTCAGGTGGATGGAGGGAGGCAAAGAGATGCCAACCATTTTCAGTGGCACTCTGTTACTAACACCGTCGATGTCCAAATAAGCTTTTGCTTGAAATTCTCCTACTTCTTTCGGGAAAAAGGTTATGGTTAGTTCCGTTGTTTTCTTAGGCCATAACTTTCCTTTCTGTAAAAATAAAACTTAAGTAGCATGCTTTACTTGACAAGAAATCATCATCAAATAATAATTATTTTACTAACAATAGGCGTTATAGAAAAATGCGTATTTTGAAAGGTCAAGGTTTCATCTGCAACCAGAGCCTGAATTTCATCAAAGAAAATCCTCGTATACACTCTCTCATGCTCTTCGCTGCTCAGAACATCATATTGCACCAGTTTCATGTATTTGGATGATTCACTGTCCTTGAGGTTATAAAAAATCGTGGCCAATTTCACTTTATCTTCGAAATCTGCCGATAGCAAGACCATTAATAGTAACGTGGATAGATTTATTTCCGCGTAAGTTTACATTAGTAAAGTGTGAATGTCAGTGTAAAAGATACGCTTTTTTACAGCGGAGATGGTTTAGATACGATTCCTACGATGTTGTACAATCATTGTAATTCATTCATACCATAATACACGCAGTCATTTTTCATGCACATGTACGTAAGCAGGTGATTGGATTTGTTAGTAATCTTGAACGTTTGCTGTCGAATCATGGTGTTGTAGGTGTCCTGAAAACGAACTACTTCCTTTTCCAAATCTACGCTAACTGTATGTGTCGTTCCAGTCAATTGAATCTTGAAGTTTTCACCTATTTGAAGCAAGATACAAGATTACATTTACATGGTTTAAGGTACTAGAGATAATGAGCTAAGCATTCGCGTATTCATTACCGGTTTCAAAGGTTGCCATCAATGATCCTTGGGTTTCTCCAAGATTCATTGTTTTAAAAGTAATTTTAATGTCTATCTTCTCATTTGGATTTAAGTAAGCAGATTTAGGCTGAACAGCATATGGACTGTAAGTGAAAGTTTCACATGAATTAAAAATTGCAAAAATACCATGAGGGTTGGAATGGAAACAAAATTACCATTTCGTTGATAGCGTAAAACCTGCGGAGACCATACCAATATTATGCACAGTCATTAAAACTTGATTCTCTACTTTAAGAGGTGTTTTTGGTATCTCTACCAAATCTGGAAAATCGAACACGGGTCTTGGGCCCATTGCTGTAACAACAAATAAACGGTTAAAGGCTTTTCCATCTTCAAAAATTTTTTTTTTAATTTTCAGACTTTAATGCTTTACAAACCTATTAAAGGCATAACATACTGATCTATATCAGTGTAGAAAGTGACTCTATGCGTGTAGTCCTCGTACTGGACGGGGGTAAAGGTAACGGCGAACATAACACTGATTCCAGGAGCTAGCCGCCACAAAAGTGTACCACCGCACGGCTTGATAGAGAAATATGATGACTCCTTATACACCATGTTAAGACACGTAGGAGCCTGGTTGGAGAAGGATATTAATTTAACTCACTCACAAAAGAACATAGGTTGGTATTTATTTTTATACAGGGAAACCTTAACTTACATTACTAATATTTTTTACAGAAAACTTTGCAACCACTTTATCGTTAGGTTTAAAGTTTTGAAAGACTAATATTCTTGGTGAAAAGGCCAATACAATTTTGTCATGTTTCTTTCCGCTACTGACGATATTATCTACTTGAATATTATTCAAGTTTTGAATCCTTTCCGCCGTATTCATTTTCATTTCTTTTGCATATTGCGATGGAATGATCTGTAAGGAAGAAATGATTTATGTACAAAGACAGGTATTTGTACTTACTTCTCTCGTATGTTGTGTATGATTCTTATAAACAAACCTCTTGTGACGGGTCCACCAGCTTCTTCTTGGCCAGTAAATGGTACAAATCGGATGTGAAATAGCCATTTTGTTTAAACTTATGCAATATTTCCATAATAATCCGCAATTGTTGATATTCGATAATGCCATTTGTTTACAAGCACACGGTTGCTAAGATAGTTTCCTAATGTCATAAATGATTAATGAATATGATAAGAAGAAATCATTCATTGAAGAGGTCGTATATTTGACCAAAAAGCTCCTGAGAGTACATAGAGGAATTGGAGTAGCATCTAGATATCATTAACGAGCATTAAATAAGTGTTAAGACGCTATTAAATTAATCCATCAAGTGTACTATGATGTGAAACATTTTAGCAAAGAGCTGCGGACGAGAGGGCACAGAGGAGTGCGGAAATAGCAGGCGCGTCGTAGTAATTTTAGTAGAATCGGGGCAACGCGGCCGCGTACCAAAATAGAGGTGCGCACGCGTCTTCCCGCTGTCAATTTCGTCCGGATAGGGTGCACGATTAACCTATACCGCCCACCGCAGAGCGAAAGTTCGGCGAGCTCACGCTCCCTCAGGGCCCGCAGAAGGTCCCACGCGAGTGCAGTGTCCCAGGAGAAAAGTGCGTGGTTGCATAATAACGACCCAGTTATGTGTGTGATTCGTGATATATCTTAGTGCGATTTAGTTCTCAAATCTGTTAGAAAACAGATAGCAGGAAATCAAGTACGTACCCACTTTTCATGTAAATTACAAAACAGTTTACACTTTACCTGAATTGCGAATGCAAACCATATTCTGGGTATTATATTCTGTCTTGTTTATTATTAGAAAATGCATACGCTATTTCAGACGTTGGGTATTTTGGACCGGAAAGTTGCACAGGTGTGTGTGCAGATATATTTTTTGTGTGTGAAGAATTAAATACTCAATTTATTTGTTATTCCGATGTTTTGAGAAATAAATGGTGAAATAATTGGGTCGGCTATAGGCGTCTGCAAAGTGGCAACGCCCGCTCTATCCCGGTCACAGCTGCTGGCGCTTACACATGATAGAGACAGTTACAGAAGTGATATGTATTAATGTTTATTAATATTGTACATGCATAGTATGGTGTTCTGCTGAGTGTCAGAATCAATCCTCAAATACTCATCATGAATTATAAAATTGTGCAAGACGAAACTACTAAATAGAAATAACGTCCTACGACTTGAAACGCTAAATAATATTGTGGAACGAACTATTCTGCAGTTATATTGCCATGATTTATGATAGTTAGAACCCAGAAATCTGTAAGTTGACTGTTGAGCGCAGTCTCTTGACTTGTCTCATTTCATCAGAGATGCTGAAGGGTCGCGGTCGTGACCCGCGGGTCTTGACCAGCCCGCCGCCGGCGCAGCTCGCGGCGCGGGTGCCGGCGCCGACGCAGGGCGTGAGACCTCAGCCTCAGATGCACTCCTCCTCAAAACTCACTCTGCGCACGCCGACGCTATCGCGGGCGCCTATCGCCAAACCAGAGCCAGATTACGAAGTCGTGGAGTTCCCCTCCGAACAGTATGTGAACGCCAAGCTGCAGCCGCCACCGCCACCTCCGCCGCGTCCTCCTACAGGTAAGAATAAGAAGACTTTATAAACGTTTGTAGTGTTGTGAACTGAAATAAATACAATTTGAATTATAAACAACATAAAACAGCTACTTTTCAAATCAAACGCACTGAAAAAAGTTTTCAGAAAGACCCTAGGTAATCTAGATCATTATTGATAAGTTACTAAATTACATTATTCTGAATTTAAGAAAAGTTATTAGGTATCATGTAATACCACGTAATACTGACTAGACAAAACGTTTGTGTATTTGGGATTGATTGACAGCTAAACCGTGGCTAAACCTAGTTAGCACATGCTTCTATAATTAGATATTTATGACGGTCAACGACTTCAGTATTTGGGGCAATAGCCGTTCGTTCGCCTATAAATTCAGTTTACACAAGTTGATGTGCATATTCCCGACAAATCAATTGTAAATCTAGTTCAATCGTTAGGTACTAGTAAAAGACTAGTATTACCAGTAGATATCTCATTATGGAAGATCGGCGCTGAAAAAGAAATTCCACTACTTGTTAGGCTGCTTCTCCATCAAGGGTCTTGATAAGATCATACGATGCGTTGCGAGGAATGGGTTTGCAAACCACCAAAGTGGGTCTACCACTTGAATTACCAAAATTAGCTCAGCGTAGCTTTAAGAAATGGTGAAGTGAAAAGCATCCTTGAACCACGCATTTTAATCGCACATCTCTTGTGGAAAAGTAACCTTGATTTAAGACCCTTAATGTGGACCTCTAGAGCCTGTGCACACCACGTTGTTTAAACGTGTCGCGCTTTTTTCCTACAAAGCTCTACAGGCTGCGTCCGACTTGCATGTCTTTCGCTACAAATGCTCGTCGACGTCGCGACGGCACGCTTAAATAAATGTGGTGTGCACAGGCCCTTGTCTTAGTCAGATACTGAACTCCAGGGCATCCAGTTGAAGCAGCGTCATGCGGTCTTTGCGGGGGCGGAGGCGCGCGGGTCCGCTGCACCGAGTGCGGTCGGCGAGCGCTCTGCGCCTCCTGCGACGACATGTACCACCGGCACCCTAAGCGCCGCCACCACCAGAGACAGGTGGGTGACTGAGAAGAGAGAGGAAATCAGAAAGTTTACGAAGTACCAGATATCCATGCGCTTTTCCATGGTGTGATCTGACTAATTTTCCTGGAGAATGGTACAACTAAAAGTTTGTGGAAGGCAAACAACTTATAGAAAACAGAGTATGCTACATGTTAGGCTAAGTACTTCTAGTACAAAAACGTTGTAGTTATAATTTTGAGGGTTTAGTTATTTTATGGTTTATAAATTACCTACTCAAGTTAAAGTAAACAGATTTGTAGTGTGTGTGATACGTAATAAATAAAAATAATAAACCAACTCACATTACTATTGAATTCTTTGGCAACTCTTCAATTCTAGTAATAGGAACTGTCCCTTATAGTTAATGAATAATTAAGTCGTTGTGTATGTTGTATCATAAGTATTTTTACACAGGCATTGTCCTTGAACCAAATGCGGGACGAACGACCGCCTCTGCCACCGAAGGCTGCTCCCCCAGTGCCTCCACCGCGAAGACACAAGGTAAACAAAAGCTNGAACTCCAAAACAACTTCTTTGAATCGTCCATCTCAAAATTTCTCCTATGCTTATAGAGAATCGTTTTGCTGTGTTCACAATATTATTTTAGAGATACACCTACTACACCTTCGTATTTCCAAATATTTCAGATTAGCGGTGACAGAATGAGCGCGAGTCCCAGACCTCCATCGGTGGCGGAACAGCGCAACTCGACTCTCGGTTCTCACTCCATGAATCCCATGATGCATACTCAAACGATGCCGCTGAACAATCGGCCGAGTCAGCATAGTCAGCAGATACCACCTCATCTTCAGAAGCTAGCAGCAGGACCTACGCATTTGGGCAGCGTGCCCTATTTGCCTGCGGCGCACCATTCTCCTGCGCCTGTAGTGCCTGCTCAGACCAATACGTTAGGGCATCTGACTGGCTGGGGAAGACCACGTGGGTCACTGCCGGGCTTCAATGTTCCACCTAACATGATGCAGGTAAAATAAATGCAAGTGACAAGTTTCAAAGTTGTAGAGATGTGCGAAATGCTTCTTAACGTAGTCGCAGCCAAGGAATTTTGTTTATAATCATGCAGACGCAAGGTAGACGAATCTAAATGTATGATGTTTACCACCGTTTAGTCATCATAACAAAGATTTATACTTTGTTATGATGACTAAACGGTGATGATGACATACATGGTCATAGCTATACGAAATACCTATTATGCTCATCGCTGATTTCGTGCCAGCGCTAGAAACGTATATTAAACTTTCATTTAAAATATCCTCGATGTAGTATCGTATGGCAATCATTTATATTTTTGGCAAAGTTGGCAAACGTACTAATAATTATACGAGATATTAGTCGGAGAGCACTTAAAACTGCGATCAATCTTATCATAAATAACACCGGTCACAAAAAAAAAAAATTTTTTTGCGCATGGATTTTACTTAATTTTCCATCTTCATAGTAAAATGTCTCTAAAGATGCACGTCACATTCTCATTGGCATATATTTAAAGATAATTATGGGGGCTTATTCGCAAGAACAAGGGGCACACTTTCATCAAAATATAGTGGGATTTGAAAGACGACGTTACCAAGGCCAGTATACTGAAAGCGTCATAGGGTTAGAGATTTATGAGAAAAATCTTCTATAGAACATGAGAGGAGATTAGAACTTTAAATTTTTCATAAATATTTGGACTCTATTTTAAATTTTCTCTTGTGAGAATGAATCTTAAATGGATGTTTGGTATGTTTTAATAATTAGAAAGAATGGAAGAAAGAAAGAAAAAAAAATATTTGGCAACAAATTAAATCATCTCTATGTTCATGTTTCATACATTCATTTATATGAATTTTTCTATTTTTTACACATAAAAGCAAATTCAGAACAACTTTTTGTTGTCATTCTTATTTCTAGTTATTAAAGCAATAAAAATAAGCTATGCATAACCCGTGCGCAAAAATGCTGTAGACAGTTGTAATGTTCAATTTCGTCAGCAACAAATGGGGCCAGAAAGCTGGGAGAGTCCGGAGAGCGTTCAGGCGCAGAACTGGGGTCGGCCGATGCGGCGGGGGGCCTCGGTGCTGGAGCTGAGCGGCGGGAGCATGGGGGGGATGGGGGGCATGGTGGGGGCGGGGTGCCCTGGCTGCGCCGGCTGCGCGGGCGGCTGGCGCTACGGCAGCTGCGCCAGCCTCGACCACCAGCCGTGGGCCGCGTGGCCGCCCGCCTGCTGCCACCCGCCCGCGCCGCTCGCGCACCCTCATGCGCATGCTCACCCGCATGTGCACGCGCCGCAGACGCCGCAGCCTTACCGCAGAGGTGAGTTGCAAAGAGTTTTATGTGTTTGGTAAACTAGCTTAATCAATCTCAGCTCGACGATCCCACACCATTTGTTCCTTTCTTGTTATATGCCTTGAAAAAGCCTAAACAGTGCAAGAAATTCAGGCGCTCTCTTAGCCTCTTTTCAGGTAGTACCTAGTACTACAGTTTAAAGACACTTTTTTGCCACAACTAGAGCTGATAGCATTTTACATTGTCTTCAGTGGACAGCCGCGCGGTATCCCGCGCCGCTTCCCGAGCGGGCTCGCGCGCGGCATCTCCCGCTATGAGCGTGAGATCTCGTGCCTCTCGCCGGCCCAAACATCGCACGCCCTCGCCGCCGCCGCTGCCATCTAGCGACGCCGACTCCGAGAGCGAGAGTGACAGCGACCGCGGCCACGACAACAACCGTAGTCACGCCCATGATAACAGTCGTGGTCACGCCCACGAGACTTCCCGCAGCCGTGTACACCGCCGTGATAGTGACAGAGCACGAAGCCGCGGTCCGGAGAGCGAGCGTGGACGCGGGAACGTGCCCGACAGCGAGAGGGGGCGTGGCAATGAACGCGAGCGCAGGCTCAGCCATGTTGCCAGTATGTATTCTATTCTATATCAGCTTATGGGGTTAATCTTCGAGCATAGGCCTCCTTTTAAACCTTCCACCGACTTCTGTCCTCGGCCACTTGCATCCGGTTTATTCCAGCTTGTCGCCGGATGTCACCTGACCATCTTTCAGGCGGTCTTCCTCTACCGACCAATGCTGTATCGTCCGATCATATTAAAATCACATTCCAGAACTTTCTAGCTTTTGTTTGCGGCTTCAATATAAAAGATATGCGTCATGCCTACAAAATATTGTATTGTATGTGTTGTATTTTTAATACCTTTAAAACCCTGTAAAACTTGTCAGACGAAGCGCCACCAAAGCAAGAAGAAGCCGAAGAGTGGCTGGGCCCGGCGCCGGCGCCGGCGGCCGCGGCGTGGCAGTGCGAGCACTGCACGTTCGTCAACGAGCCCGGCGAGCGCGTGTGCGCCGTCTGCTGCCGCACGCCCACCGCCGCGCCCAAGATCGTGCAAGCGCCTGGAGACGCCACGAGGTAACTGAGCTACCACTCGTAATGTCTATGTCGCAGGCAAATTGTATGATTCCGCATTTTACAAACGGCGTCGTCAGTTTACAAACGCTCGCTGTTCTATGAAATGCCGAAGGCAAATTGGCGACTCGTTCAATTGATAAAATTTCGACTATGATTGTTGCAATAGGCCCGACCATCATAAAACACATGTTGGACAAATCAGACTTAATTTCAGAAATCAGGTAGGTATCTATTCAGGTAAGACAAACCTAAAATACTAGTACTACTCCTAAAGTAATTAAAATATTTTCGTAATAAAAACAACATTAAACTAATTTAAACTATTGACGTACCTATAGGTAGGTACATAAAACAATGACATAAAATAAGTTTCGATAGTCAGTCCTTTAATTAAGTCTTACATTTTAATTAGACCTAGAAGAAGTTTAGAAGACAACACAATATTTTTTTAAACCAATAATATTCTGCAGCAGTCCTCCACCAGTCCGAGCACCAGATTCCATTGTCACCTTAGCGTTTTTTACGTGCCGGATAACCTCAAAAACTATTTCATTTTTCCAAAGCTTTTTCACTGCTCCTATTTGTGAATCGTAAAATATTTTTAATTCACTAAGTATAATAAATGTCTTTTTTTGTGAAAAGTCCTTTGAATACGAAGAATTTGCACTGTTTTCTGTATCACAACACCACGCTTTGGTGTGTAGCCAAAGTGTGCGCCGGTTGGAATCCATGGTATGAGCATAGGTTAAGGTAATCCTGTGTTCCTACATCCTGATGTCCGGGCTCAATGTTAATATTTATATCGCCTGTTATTACAGTGTTTTTAAAAGATGTTAAAGTTTGAAGAATCTGGTTCAAGGAGTTGTGGAAATAATCTAAATTTCTAACAGATGGAGACCTGTATAACGCAATAATAGCTGTGTCGCTTCCAATTTTGATTATTAAGCAATTGCATTCTTGTAATATACGTTCTTCAACTGAGACTTTTAGTGATTCTCTAGCATACACTATCACGCCGTCGTTTTGGTTATGGTTAGTTCTTGTATAATACATACTGTATCCTGGCAATTCTGGGAGATTATTATGTCTATTTTGTAACCAACATTCAGTTAAAACTATTATATCACAATAAAAGTTGAGCCTATGGAGGAAGATCTTAAAGCTATCTATATTTTTATAAATACTGCGAATGTTTTGGGTTAGTATTGTTAGTGAATTTGGGTAAACAGAGATACATTGTCGGCACTCCTCAACATCGCACGACCTTGACTCGGATACAGATAATTCATCCATTTCGTTTAGTATATTTACATCCATATTTCTATACTATACTATACTATGTGTAGGTCTAAAAATAAACAAATTATGTGGCGCTCTTAGGCGCCTTCATAGTCGGTCTTCACAATGAACGGTCCTGCGCTGCCCGCATCCAGACTTTTTTTCATCCCTACAGATTCTGTTAAATGGTAAACTACAGTGTGCATTTAGAACCATGAATTGCTGAACCTTGTAAACTACCTTGTGGTTTGTCCTCCAGGCGGCGTCCCCGGAGCCGGGGCGCGCGATGTCGATGGAGGCGCTGGCGGGCGCGGGCGCGGCCGGCGCGGCGTCGCGCGGCCTGGAGCTGGCGCGCCTCATGGCCGAGGCCGAGCGGCTCGGCTTCAGCGCCGCTGAGGTTACTACTGCCACTGATATTGTCTTAAAGTTTTAATTTGATGGTAACTTGCAACAAACAAGATTTAAATGACAAACGTAACGTACCTAAATCTTTTTAGTTCCTCAGTATCTGATCCCTGGAGGGACTAAGGAAAGATTGATTTAAATGTGGACAATAACGCATAGAACAGAACAGTCAAGTAGCACATAGCACGTAATCGTAGTTAGATCTGATTATCACCTGGTTATTTATCGAATTGGTATTTGTACGGACGACGGCACGTCAACGTAACCACTGTGGGTTCTTGTAATAGGGGCGAGTTTGCAACAAAAATGGGTAACCTGATGTGCTGTCGTGTATACCTTATTGCTTTCGGTTAGCGATTTGGTAATGATGACCATCGAAGTATTTGTTGAAGTCNCATTGTCTTCAGTGGACAGCCGCGCGGTATCCCGCGCCGCTTCCCGAGCGGGCTCGCGCGCGGCATCTCCCGCTATGAGCGTGAGATCTCGTGCCTCTCGCCGGCCCAAACATCGCACGCCCTCGCCGCCGCCGCTGCCATCTAGCGACGCCGACTCCGAGAGCGAGAGTGACAGCGACCGCGGCCACGACAACAACCGTAGTCACGCCCATGATAACAGTCGTGGTCACGCCCACGAGACTTCCCGCAGCCGTGTACACCGCCGTGATAGTGACAGAGCACGAAGCCGCGGTCCGGAGAGCGAGCGTGGACGCGGGAACGTGCCCGACAGCGAGAGGGGGCGTGGCAATGAACGCGAGCGCAGGCTCAGCCATGTTGCCAGTATGTATTCTATTCTATATCAGCTTATGGGGTTAATCTTCGAGCATAGGCCTCCTTTTAAACCTTCCACCGACTTCTGTCCTCGGCCACTTGCATCCGGTTTATTCCAGCTTGTCGCCGGATGTCACCTGACCATCTTTCAGGCGGTCTTCCTCTACCGACCAATGCTGTATCGTCCGATCATATTAAAATCACATTCCAGAACTTTCTAGCTTTTGTTTGCGGCTTCAATATAAAAGATATGCGTCATGCCTACAAAATATTGTATTGTATGTGTTGTATTTTTAATACCTTTAAAACCCTGTAAAACTTGTCAGACGAAGCGCCACCAAAGCAAGAAGAAGCCGAAGAGTGGCTGGGCCCGGCGCCGGCGCCGGCGGCCGCGGCGTGGCAGTGCGAGCACTGCACGTTCGTCAACGAGCCCGGCGAGCGCGTGTGCGCCGTCTGCTGCCGCACGCCCACCGCCGCGCCCAAGATCGTGCAAGCGCCTGGAGACGCCACGAGGTAACTGAGCTACCACTCGTAATGTCTATGTCGCAGGCAAATTGTATGATTNTATTGTCTTCAGTGGACAGCCGCGCGGTATCCCGCGCCGCCTCCCGAGCGGGCTCACGCGCGGCTTCGCCCGCCATGAGCGTGAGATCTCGCGCCTCTCGCCGGCCCAAACATCGCACGCCCTCGCCGCCGCCGCTGCCATCCAGCGACGCCGACTCCGAGAGCGAGAGTGACAGTGACCGTGGCCACGACAACAGCCGTAGTCACGCCCATGACAACAGTCGCGGTCACGCCCACGAGACTTCCCGCAGCCGTGTACACCGCCGTGATAGTGACAGAGCACGAAGCCGCGGTCCGGAGAGCGAGCGCGGACGCGGAAACGTGCCCGACAGCGAGAGGGGGCGTGGCAATGAACCCGAGCGCGAGCGCAGGCTCAGCCATGTTGCCAGTATGTATTCTATTCTATCAGCTTTTAGGGTTAATTTTCGAGCATAGGCCTCCTCTTCAACCGACTTCTGTCGTCGGCTACTTGCATCCGGTTTATTCCAGCTTGTCGCCGGATGTCACCTGTCCATCTTTCAGACGGTCTTCCTCTGCCAACCCATGCTGTATCGACCGATCATATTAAAATCACATTCCGGATCTTTCTAGCTTTTGTTTGCGGCCTCAAAATAAAAGATATGCGTCATGCCTGCAAAATATTGTATTGTATGTGTTGCATTAAAAAACCTGTATTTCTCAGACGAAGCACCACCAAAGCAAGGGGAGATCGAAGAGTGGTTAGGTCCGGCTCCGGCGCCGGCAGACGCGGCGTGGCAGTGCGAGCACTGCACGTTCGTCAACGAGCCCGGCGAACGCGTGTGCGCCGTCTGCTGCCGCACGCCCACAGCCGCGCCCAAGATTGTACAAGCACCTGGAGACGCCACGAGGTAACTTGGTCTCACTATCTATTAGTAATGTCTCTACCGCGGCCATCATCGTGTAGGCGCCTGGAGACGCTACAAGGTAACTGAGCTTCCACTATCTGCTCGTAATGTCTCTATCGTGACGTACACGATCATGGGGTGCAGGCGCCTGGAGATGCTGCCACGAGGTAACTGTTCTCTACCGTCCAAGATCGTGCAATCTGCCGGAGATACCACGGGATAACCGAGCTACCGCTATCTAATGTTCAACCATCCATGCGTGATTTTAATTTTTACAAGTTCGTTGAATACTTCTGGCAGTCATCCTCTGCTTCAAGCCTGGCAACAGCAAATCTTTTTTTCCAATATTTGACTAAAAATATTACTCACATTTATAAGTATCCTTGATAATCAAGGATTTTGACTTTTGACTGCTTTGATTGTAAACTACACACAACTAAATTATAAATAACTTGAAAAGTCGATCTGCCTAAGGCGGGAATCGAACCCACGACCTTTCGCTTACCCGCCTTAGGCAGTTCTATTTTTTCAAGTTATTTATAATTTAGTTTGAGAAGCGACTCTAATCGCTAAAGAAATTTTAATAACTACACACAACTACTAATTAATATTGTATTGTTTTAGTGGCCGACGCGCTGACAGCCCAAGGACTGTAGCGGAAAACGCTCGAAGCGTAGCGGATAGCGCTCGAAGCGTAGCGGAAAGCGCGCGAGGCATCAGCCGACTGGAACTAGACGACGACCCGCCTCCGCCGCGGACTGTCAATCGAGTGGCATCGCCATCGCCAGTCCGCGTCGTCGACAGCCGAACTTATCAAAGTATGGTTCTATTATTACCTAAAGTGAACATTTTAAACCATCTGAATACTATCTAAATAATTATGTTCATAACAATCCCCAGATGGAGAAACGACAACAAACAAAACTGCTCCGAAAAAAGAACGCATTTCTACCGGCTGCGGGCCCTCGCCGCCACGAGAAGAGAACAACCTAAAACAAAAAAACCGCCTAGTTACCCCCACCCGGGAACAAAGTGTAGAACCATCGCGACGCCACGATATGGGTGTGGGACCGTCCCCACCCAGAGAGACCCAGCATTCTATCAGCGTCGGACCATCTCCACCGAGACAGAATATATCGATGAAAGTGTCCCCGTATAGAGAAGTGAAGCAACCAGAACCACCAGTGCGGTACAGCATCTCAGTAGGCCCCTCCCCTCCCCGCGAGAATACAATACGCGCGTCCCCCGTTCAAAAAAAGTCCGCTGGGACGTCCCCCCCGCGGGACGCGATTGAGAGTCGCTCGTCGTCCACGTCCCTCCGAGCCAACGTATCTAATACCGGTACGTCTCCACCGCCGCAAAGTATCTCCACACAGGTAAAAACAAATAGTAACTTAAGTTTTGTAGCTTTTGAATGGGTTTAGACCTTTGGACTTAGGAGTTTCAGCTTTGTTGCATTATGCTTCAGGTTACTCACCATTAGAACAAAGTTTGATATAAAACCACTTTACAGCAGTGGTGAATTAGTAACATATCCATTATACATAAGATCTCATTATTTTGTTTTCTTTTTGCATTTTCTTAGTGACGATCTATATTATTAACGGGTTTATTTGATTTTGTCACTTAGTTTCATGAGTTTTATAGCATCAAAAGTACTACTTTATAATGTGTCATGTTCCTAGACGTACGAGGTGCCAAACGCGTGGGAGCGCGCCCCGTCAGCGTCTCGTTCGCGCGCGCGGAGACGCTTCCGCGACGACAGCCGCCGCGAGCGCTCGCACAGCCGCCACTCGCTCTCCAGCGACACGAGGGTAAGCCATCACGAGGGTGGAAATTGGTGAAAAGGTCTTTCATAAATTATTTTCATAATTCTTTCGTTTGACCTCTCAGTACGCTGATAAAATATGGATCGTTGTAAGACTTCAATAATAAGGTGTACAGANCTGAGCTACCACTATCTACTAGTAATGTCTTTATCGCTCAGAATCGTGTAAGCGCCTGGAGATACTGCTAAGAGGTAACTGAGCTATCACTACATATCTACTCGTAATGTCTCTACCGCTCAGAATCGTGCAAGTGCCTGGAAACACCACGAGGTAACTGCTTCCACTATCTGCTCGTAATGTCTCTACCGCGGCCATGATCGTGCAAGGGCCTGGAGACGCCACAAGGTAACTGAGCTACCACTATCTACTAGTAATGTCTTTATCGCTCAGAATCGTGTAAGCGCCTAGAGATACTGCTTAGAGGTAACTGAGCTTCCACTACTTATCTATTCGTAATGTCTCTACCGCTCAGAATCGTGCAAGCTCCTGGAGATACTGCCAAAAGGTAACTGAGCTTCCACTATCTACTCGTAATGTCTTAACCGAGCTACCGCTAACTAAAGTTCAACCATCCACGTTGGTTAATGCTTGATTTTAATTTTTACAAGTTCGTTGAATTCTTCTGGCAGTCATCCTCTGCTTCAAGCCTGGCAACAGCTAATCTTTTTTTCCAATATTTGACTATAAAAATATTACTCACATTTATAAGTATCCTTGATAATCAAGGATTTTGACTTTTGACTACTTTGATGCTAGTATTGTAAACTGCACACACTTATTATAAATAGGTAACTTGAAAAAATCATCTGCCTAAGGCGGGAATCGAACCCACGACCTTTCGCTTACCCACCTTAGGCAGTTGGATTTTTCTAAAGAAATTTTAATAACTACACACTAATTAATATTGTATTGTTGTAGTGCCCGACGCGCTGACAGCCCAAGGACCATAGCGGAAAACGCTCGGAGCGTAGCGGACAGCGCTCGTAGCGTAGCGGAAAGCGCGCGAGGCATCAGCCGACTGGACCTGGACGACGACCCGCCTCCGCCGCGCACTGTCAATCTAGTGGCATCGCCATCGCCAGTCCGCATCGTCGAGAGCCGAACTCATCAAAGTATGTACTTATTGTTACCCAAATTCATTATTTTAAACCATCTGAATACTATCTAATTAATTATGTTTATAACAATCTCCAGATGGAGAAACGACAACAAACAAAACTGCTCCCAAAAAGGAACGCATTTCTACCGGCTGCGGGCCCTCGCCGCCGCGAGAAGAGAACCATCAAAAACAAATAAACCGCCTAGTTACCCCCACCCGGGAGCAAAGTGTAGAACCATCGCGACGCCACGATATGGGTGTGGGGCCGTCTCCGCCCAGAGAGACCCAGCATACTATCAGCGTCGGGCCATCTCCACCGAGACAGAATATATCGATGAGAGTGTCCCCGTATAGAGAAGTGAAGCAACCAGAACCACCAGTGCGGCACAGCATCTCAGTAGGCCCCTCCCCTCCCCGCGAGAATACAATACGCGCGTCCCCCGTTCAAAAAAAGTCCGCTGGGACGTCCCCCCCGCGGGACGTGATTGAGAGTCGCTCGTCGTCCACGTCCCTCCGAGCCAACGTATCTAATACCGGTACGTCTCCACCGCCGCAAAGTATCTCCACACAGGTAAAAACAAATAGTAACTTAAGTTTTGTAGCTTTTGAATGGGTTTAGACCGTTTGGACTTAGGAGATTCAGCTTTGTTGCATTATGCTTCAGGTTAACTCACCATTAGAACATGAAGTTTTATTTAAAACCACTTTAGAGCAATGGTGAATTAGTAACATACCTTTACATAACATTTCATTATTTATTTTGTCTTCTTTTTGCATTCTCTTAGTGATTATTAACGTTTTTATTTTATCACTAAGATTCATGAATTTCATGCATCAAAAGTAAGTGCTTTTTAACTTGTCATGTTCCTAGACGTACGAGGTGCCAAACGCGTGGGAGCGCGCCCCGTCAGCGTCTCGTTCGCGCGCGCGGAGACGCTTCCGCGACGACAGCCGCCGCGAGCGCTCGCACAGCCGCCACTCGCTCTCCAGCGACACGAGGGTAAGCCAACACGAGGGTGGAAATTGGTGAAAAGGACTTTCATAAATTCTTTTCACAATTCTTTCGTTTGACCTCTCAGTACGCTGATAAAATATGGATCGTTGTAAGACTTCAATAATAATGTGTCAAGANTGTACAGACTTTTAATGACAAGTGCATTAACTGTGGTTTCGTCTTTGTTAGCGCGTGAGCTTTACCGTGATACCGAATTGCACATCAGCTGCAATGAAAATGTAGTGTGAGTCTTGCGCGACTGGAGGTGAAACGCGATTGAATTGGAGAATTACAAATTAGCGCAATCGGGGTCCTGATCTCCCAAGTAAGAAGATAATAGTGGTTTCTAATGGATATAGTGTTTCAATTTGTATTTTCTGTTACAGGAGAGCGAACGCAGCGCGCGAACTAGCGGCGGCGGAGGGGGGCGGTGGGAGTGGCGGGAGACTCGCGACAGCAGCCCGCCCGAGTGGAGCGGCAGCGAGCGCCGGCCGCCCGCGCGCCTCACGCGCCGCGCCTCGCACCTCGACCTGCGCCGCGAGCCCCGCGCCCCGCGCCGCGCCAGCTACTACTCGCAGGTACCCCGCAGCCCCCGCGTGGAGCGGCAGCGAGCGCCGGCCGCCCGCGCGCCTCACGCGCCGCGCCTCGCACCTCGACCTGCGCCGCGAGCCCCGCGCCCCGCGGCGCGCCAGCTACTACTCGCAGGTACATCCTTCCCCCTCCCCCTCCCCAGGTAGCCCCCTACTGGAGAGAGGAAACCCGACACCGAGCGGCCACGCCTCCTACGCGCTGAGTCTTTCAACTGTCGCATCTCATCTGTTGCGTGACTCTTTCTAATCCCTACAGATCCTATTAAATGGTAAACTACAGTGTACATTTGGAACCATGAATTGCTAAACCTTGTAAACTAGCTTGTGGTTTGTCCTCCAGGCGGCATCCCCGGAGCCGGGGCGCGCGATGTCGATGGAGGCGCTGGCGGGCGCGGGCGCGGCCGGCGCGGCGTCGCGCGGCCTGGAGCTGGCGCGCCTCATGGCCGAGGCCGAGCGGCTCGGCTTCAGCGCGGCTGAGGTTAATACTGCCACTGAATCTTAAGTTTTAATTTGGTGGTGACTAGCTCGCAACATTAAAGATTTAAACTGAGGGCCTGAGGATGAGAAACGTAACGTAAATCTTTTTGGTTCCTCAGTATCTGATCCCTGGAAGTGGACTAAGAAAAAAAATGTGGAAAATAACGTATAGAACAGAACGGTCAAGTAGCACATAGCACGTAATCGTAGTTAGATCTAATTATCACTGGTGTACCTTATTGCTTTCGGTTAGCGGTGTGGTAATGATGACCATCGAAGAATTGAACACCGAAGAGACGATGACGACGTCGTGGTGTTGCGTTGCAGGTTCAAGCTGCACTAGCGCAGAGCCCAGCAGCGCCTCTAGCGTGGCTTCGCGGGCGCTGGCCGAGCTTGTGCGCCGGCGTACGCGCAGCCGCCGCCCGGCTGGCGCCCAACGCGCGTGTTTCCGAGCTGGAGGCGCGCGCCGCGCTAGCGAGGCACCGCGGCGCCATGTGGCCCGCCGTCACCGACTGCGTCGAGAGGCACCGCCGACAGGTCAGCACCACAGAAGCAGTTAAATGATGCACTATCTGACCGGTTTTCTTTTAACTTAACTGTAACTAAAGCCCGGTCTCTGAGCACGTAAAATTTTGTCCAATGACCCCAAGCTACCCATCCTTATCGCTCGCGTGTAATGAGGGCTATCGTTTTAGCGCTCACCAGTTAGCGCCACTGTAGAGTAAGGTCCTGTCACTTGCTAGTAGCGAAGACAGTGGCACCAACTGGTGAGCGCTAAAGTGGCATCTATCGCATTTGCACTCATCAAGATGGCGCCACTGTATAGTAAGGTCCTGTCAATCGCCAGGGGTGCCAACTGTTAAGTATAAAAACGATAGCCCTCATTATATTGCTGTTGCGACTGTGCGACGGGCGCCCGCAGTGAGTGTGCGAGCGCAACAGCAACATAATTACTCGGCGACCAAACTATAGTTTATCGATATCTTGTATAGTTTAGAAATAATCGAGTGAGAGATCACTTATCGCTTCCACCTTCCACTCAAATGTGAAAATTATATCACTAACCATCAACTAGGTATGTGTAGCTGTAGACTCACCGTGAGCTTCTGTGTAAACGTATTGTGTAAGCTTTGCGTTTTGTCAAATTGCATGTTTAAGTCACTATTTAAAAATAAGCATGTTATGATAAGAATCAGATGACAGAGCGCATGTCGGGTTATGTTGCAGACGGAGCAGGGCACGAGCTCGGAGCGGCGGCTGCGCGGGCGCGTGTGGGGCTCCCCGGCCGGCGCCGACGACGACGCCGCGCCGCCGCCGCGCGCCCACACGCGCGGTAATCTCGCCTCCAGCCGGTAGTCCGTACCGTCCCACCGTCCTCACACGCCATAACCGTCACGTTTACGTTTCAGCCGAAGATAGCTCGGACGAGTACGAGCCGCCGCCGAACAAATTGCGGGACGACGACTGGATGTACCTCCCCCTCGACGCCGCCCGGGAGCCCGTCGAGCCCTGGGCCGTGGTTCCCGACCCGTACGACGACGTCGCCGATGACGTCGCCGCGGACCTGAAAAGGCTCCTCGTGGGAGCGAGCGCTCCAGTGATCCCCGACGACTTGGTTCTGGGAGGCTTCCTGCCCGACGAGTTGGCGGCGATGTCCGCGGCGGACGGCAACGTTGGAGGCAAACCGCATTTACTAGATTTTATCCAATCTGAGAACGACTTCATAGAGGCATACAACGCTCTCACCAGGTCCAGTCCCCTCCCCAATGTCAATAATCGCAAGGATGGGTCGGACGGCGCTCATTTTTCGGCAAAAATAAATTCGAAACGAGACACGCATGACGTGGATGAGAATGATTTATATTCTAATATTGAAAAAAACACTAATATTAATAATAATATTAACATGCAAACAAATCACATATCTCATGAATCAATAGACTCGAATAAATTAAAGAAACGGTCGCCCGAAAAAGACAAATCGAATGAGTCTTTGGAAGTTACATTAAATAATGTTTATACGATACAGCAAACTAGTCAACATTCTTCGTCCCCGACGAAGCCAAATATAGCAGCTGACGTAGATAGAATTACAAATATAACTTTGAATTCTAGTCAACAATTTGATACGGCAAATAAAGATCTCACATCTAACGTAGAAATAGAAAATGCAAGTATTTCGACAACAAATGCAGAGCCGATTTTGTCAGATGTACCGATTACTTCACCCATACCTAAAACGGTGACTGAAACTAACAACGTAAAAAATACATCACCGACGCCGCAAGTTGCAGTCCAAAAGAACATAAGAAAAGTTACACCGCCCATTCAAAAAGTAACGACTGTAAATAATATAGAAAAAACACAAGCCGATATTCAATCTCAAGATAAATCTAATAATTTAAATGACCTTGTTGATAACACTCAAAGACTGATACAACAAATGAGAGATGAAATTAATTCAGATATAAATTCTATTGATAGTAGAAACATATCACAGAGTGAAGCAGATAGCAGTTCAAATGAATCTGACATTTCAACAGAACACGAGTCTAGCTATAGTGATACTGAAGATAAAGAAACTGATGAGTTATCAACAAATGAAAGTGAAAGTTCTGATGAGGAAAGTGAAGAAGACCGTTTACATGAAAGGCGGCCTACCATAATTCAAAGGACTAGTTCGGAAGAAAACGATCAATTCGAAGAAGCTATGGATCACATAGAAGATCAAATGGAAGACTTCAAAAACACCAATATTGAAATTTTAGATTCGATAGCGCGTAGCCTACAAGAAGAGCATACTATATCACTTACCATCGATGAGCCCAAAATAACAAATGAGAGAAGAGAAGATCTTAATAACAATTTATTTGTAGAAGTTAATTCTTTCGAAGAAATTTATGCTCAACTAAATTCAAATAATAAAGGAAAAGTTAGCCCTACGCGTCCTGATCATAATAAATCCAATGACCAACAAAATAGCCGATCAGAGCTAACCTCAAATAATGTACAGTCAGTTATTACAAATAATAAAAATGACAAGCAGAAATCACCTGATAATGCATCAATAGGAAACCAAAATAATATAATTTCAATTCAAGACGAACCTAAACATGTTTCGCCTGAACCAGTAAAGATTCCTAGGATAAATATCACTAAGCAATTAGTCGCAATTTCAACATTTAAGGCTATGCCACCAATACAATTAATAATATCAGAAAACAACCAAATAGCACTGAATGCTATTATAGAACATTTAGAAGGAATTGATGAGATTAATAATGAAATACAAGAGCATACTGTTGTTCAAATCACAGAAGAAACATCCGCATTAGAAAATGATTTCATTATTACCGAAACGCCTGTAACGTCAATGAAAAGCTTGCCACAATCATCAGATGAGGATGATTCAATGGGTACAGCTGACTCAGACGTTACACCAACGGAACAAACTGACTTAGTAGATGATGATAATACAATCTTAGAAAATAATACAAATACTCAGGAAAACTTGAGTAATAAAATAACAGAAAATGTTGATAGAACAGAATCAAAAGATGTCTCTGATATTTTGGACAACAAAGTAGAGATAAATAACGAAGTTTCGGACAGCAATAATAAATCTCCTGAGAAAATAATTACAAAGCCACAAAATCAGAGTAAAATAAATAAAACATTCAATGCCATTAAATCAAATATTCCAAAATTAGTAAAAGTTGTGCAAAATAATAAGCAAAAAGGAGACAAGACTTCTCCAAAAGTTATAGCTTCCAAGGTACCAGTTCGACGAGGCTCCCTTAAGCAGTACCCCGCACCGGCGCCTCCCAAATCTCACTTCGGTAACATTCAAAGCGGTCACGTAAAACAACTTCAAACTCGACTGTTTGATAATAAATTTCCAAAAACTTCCATCTCTGTGCCAAGTACGGTAGAAGCAAAACCGTCGACGTCTACGATGCATAAGAAAAAGCCCGCCCCGCCGCCCCCCACTCAAGAGGCAAAGCAATCTTCACCGTCAAAAGCTCCACCTCCCAAAGAAAAAAAGGGCAATTTCTTTAGAGAATCTTGTCGCACGGAAGATGAATGGACAGAAAGTGACGCCGAAGATACCCCAGTGCCGTTTTCTAAAGAAAGCGAAGAACCTAATAGACCACCGTCACCGCCGCCGCCTGTTACTGTACGTCGGGTGTCTGGACAAATCATCGACCTCGCCAAAGTCCGGATTCCGGAAGGTTCGCCAGAGGTAAGTAATATTCAACAACATCAAAAATTTACAACGTAATTTTAAAAACAACCACCTAACCACCTTTGTAAGTTTTGGTTCGTCAGTTTTTTTTCGCGTTCCCCGGATCCACGAGTCGGCCATTTTACCTACTTCTGTCCCCGGCCGCTTGCATCCAGTTTATTCCAGCTTGTTGCCGGATGTCATCTGTCCAACTTTTAGGCGGTCTTCCTCTGCCGACCGATTATATTAAAATTACCCGTGTTCCCTGGATCACGAGACGGCCAGTCCGACCCTTTCACCGTTCGGCTATCGTGGCTTCGTTTATCGAAAGGCGAAAATTCCATTACAAATATCGTGTTTCAGTGTACCATAAACTCTGAAGTAGGTACGATTCATTATGACTGATCTATTCCCCGCCATTTCCCAGCGGCAAGCGCGCATGCTGCTGGCAGAGGGCGCGAGCGAGACGTGGGAGCAGGCGCGGCTGGCGGTGGAGCTGGTGTCGCGCGGCGCGGAGGCGGCGGCGGCGCTGCTGGCCGCGCTGGAGTGCGCCGACCTGCCCGCCGCGCTCGCCTACCTGCACCAGGACTGCGAGCTGTGTGCCGAGCGCCTCCCCGAGCACGAGGTAGGGGGCTAGTGGGGTAAAGTCCGGTCGCCGAGCAGATAGATTTCGTCCAATGAACGCTCGCACACTCACTGCGGCCGCCCATCGTACAGTCTAGTCGCGACAGCAATATAATGAGGGTTTTCGCGAATGAAAAATCCACCAGATGGCAATACGTACACGCGAGGTCCAAATGCTGCATGATTGGTTATTTTTGACATGACATTGACAGATATGTCAAAATCCACCAATCACGCAGCAGTCAGACCCCACATCCACGTCCCGCCATCTAGCGGATCTTTCATTCGCAAAAACCATCATTAAGCGCGATCGATAAGGATGGGTAGCTTGGGGTCTTAGAAGAATACGATGTCGCCCTAGCAATATAAAAGCATCTACGTGAGATTTCGAATAACTACGTACGACACTTTCACAACCATGTTAACACGATCTCGCATGTTGCCCGACTGAATCATAAACATACATACGTCTAATAGCACAGTTGTGAGTCTAGCTAGATGACTCAATTTATGTATTTTAATTTTCAAATCGACTACTCTTCCTTCTAAACAACTGGGGCCTTATTACAAAAACGTTAAACCCGGGACGAACTCTGGTTTAAAATGACATTTCCATACTAAAAGTCAATTTAAACCAGGGTTCAAACTGAATCTAACTTTTTGTGATAAGGGGGCTGAAGTCTAATGCCAAAAGCTTGGTGCCTTGACAACTACCACATCGTGCATAAGTTATTAGTGAAAATTGAAAAGTTTGTTGGTGTCGGATAAAGATTCAGATAGTTTATCTGGCAAATATGTTCAAGACATGGTTCCCTGATAAATTGTGAACCTTCCAGATGGTGTCGATGCTGCGCTGCACGCACCGCTGCTGCCGCTCGTGCGCGCGGCTGTACTTCACGGTGCAGGTCACGGAGCGCAGCATCGCGGACTGCGTGTGCCCCTACTGCAAGCTGCCCGAGCTCGAGAGCCTGCCCGAGGACGAGTGGCTGGAGTACTTCGCGCACCTCGACATACAGCTCAAGACCTTGCTCGAGGCTGACGTGCACGAGCTGTTCCAGAGGAAGGTGAGATTCAACATCATCATCATCATCATCATTTCAGCCATAGGACGTCCGCTGCTGAACATAGGCCTCCCCAATGCTTTCCATGTTGATCGATTGGTAGCGGCCTGCGTCCAGCGCTTCCCTGCTACCTTTACGATGTCGTCGTTTACGACGTCTCACGCTGCGTTTTCCGGTACGCGGCCTCCATTCCAGAACCTTTCTGCCCCATCGGCCGTCAGTTCTGCGTACTATGTGCCCTGCCCATTGCCACTTCGGCTTGCTATTCTATGTCAGCGACTTTAGTTCGTTTACGGAGATTCAACATATCATGGTCATCGTAAAACCAATAACCAGTGACGTCTGACGATGTCACGAACGATGCTAGTGCTGCAGTTGCAAGCGTGACGTATGTTAGAACTGTTGAACGTGCAGATGCAGTTGAAACTCCAGATCTATCAGAATACATCAAACATAAATGAAACCAATCATTTATCTAAGAATCACTTAGGCCTCAGCCTCGAATTTAGCGGGCAGCGGCGCGGGAGCGGCGGCGGCGCGGGAGCGGGGCGGGCAACGCAGACCCGTTCTCGAAACAAGCAGGCAGCTCGCGCGTCGCTTTAGCGGCGAAGTGTTGTGTTCGGGGTTGTGTTGTCGAGATATTTGTTTTTATTCGCAAACGAAATTTTATTTCGATTCAAATTTATTCCTAACGCTCGATTTATTGTGGACAAAAGAAGGAGTGCGCTGCCCGCTCGTTGCCCGCTCCCGCGCCGCTGTTTTCGAGAACCGGTTTATTTGATTTTACGCATAAGATCCTGCCGCTCCCGCGCCTCTGCCCGCTAAATTCGAGGCTGAGGCTTTAGACAGTGGCGTAACTATAGGGTGACAGAGCTGGCAAAATGCCACGGGCCCCCGGCTCAAGATCTTAAGCGCGGGATGCTTCAGCCTTCCCTGAAAAATAGCCCTAGGCCCTTGGACCTTATACGGCCTAGGGCTATTTTTCAGGTAAGGCTGAAGCATGCAAAGAATTTGCCACGGGCCTCGGATAGTATAGTTACGCCACTGCACTCAGAACGCGTCATAAAATCAGATTTTTCCAAAATACGAACACAAGCCTTAAAAATGTTTGCATTCTTTTTACAGTTGCGAGACAGAACCCTGGCACGTGATCCAAATTTCCGATGGTGCATGGAGTGTTCCTCGGGATTCTTTGTGCACCCGAAACAAAAGAAAATCCGTTGCCCGGAGTGCCGGTCAGTGAGCTGCGCCAAATGTAGGAAACAGGTACGATTATTTAGCATAGTTAAAGATACTTAAAACAGCACATAGCTTAAGTCAGTTTCTAATATTACCTTTGATGATTTCAATTTCAGTGGTCTGTTAACCACGAGGGCTTGACTTGCGAGCAATACACCGCTTGGTTGGAAGATAATGATCCAGAACGAGCCATCGCCGCAGTTCAACAGCATTTACGTGAAAATGGCCTTGAATGTCCGAGATGCCACTTCAAATATTCACTATCAAGGTATCTAAATTCGAAAATAAATTAATTAGACACCATTTACTTACCTTTGATGAAATTGGAATTCTTACAAAGATCTTTTATGTTTTAGGGGTGGCTGTATGCACTTCACATGCACGCAATGCAAATACGAATTCTGCTATGGGTGTGGAAAACCGTTTATGATGGGAGCTCGCTGCGGGCTCAGCGAATATTGCGCCAAGCTGGGGCTGCACGCGCACCACCCGCGGAACTGTCTCTTCTACCTGCGCGACAAGGAGCCTCATGAACTGCAGACACTTCTACAGGTAGGCACAACATGAAATGATCAGCGGTTTACCTCGTAAAACTATTTTATCCAAGGAATGTGTATTTAAATTATTAGTACGGCCTTTGACCACGTTGAAAATCTATCGAATCATATTATGTGCTTCTTAAACTACTATAAGAGATCTTACCTTTTAAAAGCTTTAGTACATTATATTGGAAATATCAATGGAAATAATATTCTTTACATATTGGGGTACCTCAGGGAATAATATTAGGGCCGTTATTCTTTCTAGCTAAACCGGGTTTGCCACTTTGATAAGTTATCCCTGTAGTATAGTTCATCTAATTTATTCAAGCATTCGATCCACAATTTGGTTGTAAGAAAATAATATTGTTGTTATAGATGAACAACGTGGAATACGAGACAGCAGCGCCCGAGGGCAGCCCGAACCGGTGCCCCATACAACTGCAGCGGGAGACGCCCACCGGCCTCGTGGACGGCACGTGCGGTAGCGAAGCGCCTGCCAACTATGCCGGACTATGCAAGTAAGTACCTGTTTACGGATACCTACTTACAGAGATGTTCAAGTCTAGAAATTTTGAAATAAACCGATGAGATTCATATTTTTTCTATATTATCCACTGAAAAACCTATCTAATATGATTGGATAATTTCGGTCCATCATTGTTTTAAATACCGTACTCCTATACGTTAATTGGCACGGAAGAATACCAAGGAGTATTCGAACACCGTTGAATGAGACCCATAAACGAGGTGCTCGTTAGAAAGTCATCCTCCGGTGGAGTCGAAGGGTCGGCAGCGGCGAGGCCGAGCGAGCGAGACGGAGAGCGGTGAGCGCGGCGTTGGTTGCAGGAACCACTACCTGGAGTACCTGTCGCGCGTGGTGCGCGCGCGCGGCCTGGACCCGCTGCCGCTGCTGGACGTGGGCGACCTGGAGACGCTGGTGCGGCGCGCCGCGCTGCGCCCGCCGCCGCGGCCCTACGGCTCGCTGGACGGGCTCTACCGCCGCGCGCTGCAGGAGGTCTGTCACCTGGCGTGTTGCAGGCCGCACTACGTGGAGTACCTGGCGGCGCGCGCGCGGCGCCTCGACCCCATCCCCATCATGGACGTGCCCGAGCTGGTGGCCGAGCTGCGGCGCCGCGCGCTGCCGCTGCCCGAGCGCGGGCCCTGGGACACCGACCCCGTCTACGCCGGGATGTGCGCCGAGGTACGCCGGCCCGCTCCGCCGACGGAGCGCCGGGCCGACTTGTGTTAGCTCCGCTCTTGTGTGTTTAATATGCGCCAGTCTTGATGATTCGCTTTGAATCGGCGCACTTAATTGTTCAAACACGCACCTTCACTTCACTTTGTATGGTCGACTCTCGATATCGAAATGCTATAATCTATTTCTTCCAATCTAAGGATATCTGACTCACATTAATGGCATTTTCATTAGAAGGTATTTTATATCTTTGTACTGTAGACCAATTTATGTATGTCACCGTGAAATTGTGAACTCCGTCAGTTTATAATATAACGCGTTAAGTTGTAAATCCTACAGTCTAGGTTAGATTTCACAATTTTACGAAGACATCGTCATTCTAATCGTAATCGTAATTTTTTATTTCATTAATGCAATCAAGTTAGATTATTCGTGTTTTTAACCCACAGCATAAAAGATGGGTAAAAAATATATTATGTTTGATGTGTCTGTGTCATGGTAGCACCTAAACAGATGATGAGATTTAACATCTACAAGTGTATTTATGTGCCTTTATAGGCTCGCGCGCACGGGTGACTTGTCGCCGTAACTGTCGTCACTCTTATCAAGTTCATGGAAGTGTATGTATGGAGCGACGTGACAGAAACTTTTTTGTCAAGGCGACAAGACAAGTCACCCGTGCGCGTTAGCCCCAAGAACATAACGTTAAATACAGAAGTGGTTAAAAACAGAAAATCCAATCTTATTTTTAACTAAGGAATACAGAAGAATGCTTTGAATTAAAATTGTACATAATATATGTATTTATTATTTTATCTCAACCACAGATTTTGGTTGACTATTCGCTATTAAATGTAGGCAAAAAAATTAACTGAAATGGAATCAACTGATTAATTTGAGAAATCTATTTTTTATATGAAATTAATTAAATCATCTCTGTTACAGATTGTGAAGGAGAAAATACCCTTGGATTGAATTTGGAACTATGTCCTTTTGCTCTTTTGGCTACACAAGATTCTTTGATTCAAATTAAAACATAATATTGTAACATTATTTTTCATTCATTATTAGCTATAATTCAATTAATTATTTATTTATTAACAATAAAATAAACTATTCAATAAAAATGTGGTTTATTATTAAACGTCGAAGGTCGTTACCTTCGTGCGAAGTTTTCATTCATGTGATGCCTGTCGCGTTGTATGTAGTGCCTGTTGGAATGTATCCGGCTCTCCAGGGAGTCGGGCAGGGCCCTGGCCTCGGTCTTGGCGGGGGGCGGGCGGGCGCGCGCGTCGGCGGCGGCGTCGGCGCGGCGCTGGTCGGCCACGCGGCGGCCGCGCTGCACCTCGCGCTCGGCGCCGGCCGCCGCCATCTCTGCTAACTTGGCCGCCCTCTCCTCTGCACTCAATCCCCCACCTTTCTTGTGCTTCTCCCGCTCTGCCTTTTTATTATGTTCATTCATTGATCTCTTCCTATAGTGCTTGTCATCGTCATCACTTGATCCCCTGCGTTGTTTGTTTACCTTATATGACTCCTTTCTGGAATTGTCATATTTCTTTTTATACTCATAATCTGAAACTTCAGTCTCACTCCTACGCTTTCTGGATTCAGATTTGTGACTGTGTGAATGTTTTTCATTGAAGTCCTCTGGGTATTTATTCTTACTCTGCTTAACCTCTTCATTAGATGAATCATCTGATTCTGAATGATAAGATTTCTTCTTTTCTTTTTTGGATTTCTTCTTTATTTTTTCTTCTTTCTTCCTCTTTTTCTTCTTTTTAGAGTTTTTATCATCAGAGTTTGATGAGGAGTCTGAATCTAACTTTTTTTTCTTCTTTTTAGAGTGTTTATCATCAGAGTCTGACAAAGAATCTGAATCTGAATTGAGTAGTTTAGCAATATCTACACCTTTATCCCCACTTAAAGCTGAAAGTTTAGCTGCAAGTTTCTCGTCTAGATCTTTTCCTTTCTTCTTTGACTTTTTCTTAACTTTATGTTTTCTTTCCTCCTGAAAATTCCATGAAAGATGTTGATAAGAAATCATGGAGAAAAACTCAATGCCAGATTTATCAGAGCTGTTTATTAAATCCCAACTATCCCAACTAATATTATAAATGCGAAAGTAACTCTGTCTGTCTGTCTGTCTGTTACGCTTTCCCGCTTAAACCTCGCAACCGATTTTGATGAAATTTGGCATAGAGATAGTTTTTAGTCCCGGGAAAGAACATACGATAGTTTTTATCCCGGTTTTTGAAACATCGACGCGCGCGATAAAGTTTTTCTGTGACAGACAAAAATCCACGCGGGCGAAGCCGCGGGCGAAGCCGCGGGCGAAGCCGCGGGCGGAAAGCTAGTCTACAATAAGGCAAAATGTTAAAAATAAAACTGTATTTTACCTGTTCCTTGCGCAATAAATCTGCCAGACGACGTCTTTGCAATGGATTATTGAGCAGTGCTGCCCTTGCAGCTCGTTCTCTTTCTTTGACAAGTAAGAGAGGATCCTCACGCATCTTGCGAGCTAAGTCAACCTGGCCATCTCCAGAACTGGCCATCATACTCGAGCCAACAATTCTACGTGCAACAGCTGGTATTGTGTCTTGGTCTTCTTTTTCAGACTGCCCATAATTTTTTTCTATTGATTTACCGAGCAAATAGTCCTCATCTTGTACTTTCTTGTCAGGTTTCTGTGGAAATAAATAAGTCAGTCACCAGGTAAGTTAGCACTCTTTGCCCAATATCCATGTCACATATTTTTTCCAAAAACATGTTTAAGTTAATGAGACGCCTTATTATTTAAAAGATCATACTAACTAAATTATAGTATTTAGTATCCATTATGGATGCTGAAGAAAATATCAATTTCTAACTTTAAATAGTCAGCTCTACTTGTAATCATCAAAATCCTAAAAAAATATTCTCATCAACATACATCATACATCCAGTTTAAGCGGTTGTCATTAGAGGAGCCAGCATTGCGTCTGGCCATTTCATTTAGTTCTGCTCGCCCCATTTCCTCAGCTCTTTCACGTTGCAACTCCATAATACGTTTCTTTTCTTCTGCAGCCGCCTGTTCTGCCTTCCAAACCCTCTCCTGGTTCTTTATTGTGTTTGGATGCCATGATTTTTTGGAATTCTAAAAAAAAATTTGAAGTAAATTAATGAAACTTAACCACACTTAACAAGAGTTATCAAATAAAAACACCAACCAAGTCACCACCTCCCATCTGACCTATTTTAAGAACAAAGCTCTAAATAAATCTATTCTTCAAAAGCCAAATTTTAATCACATCTGTGATTTTATTACTCGTATCATTTGACATCTATCAATTCTATCTTTTTTTCAGTGTTGCCAGTCGGGTCTAGTCAGAAATTACCAGAAATATAAAAAAAAGTAACCTTTTTGAATAAAAAGTAAGCGGAGCGATGATTGTGTAAGATTGTTCATGGATGGAAAATGAATACAATTGATCATCTAAATTCGAAAAGTGACCAGTCGTATAAAAACGTTTCATGGATTTGCGTTTTATTATCGAAAAACATTCGCTAAAACTCATTTTTTTAACAAATAATAAATCAAATTCAAGTTTAAATGCACTTTATGACATAATTTTTAAATTATTACTATTAATATTTTTTACTGAATTACCTGTAAAGTTAATTCTACAATTTCTGAAAAATCACCTAAAAGTAACCTTTTCATTAGTGTAACCTAAAAGTAACCACAGCAGTTCAAAAGTAACCTAAAAGGTTACAAAAGTAACCTTCTGGCAACACTGCTTTTTTTACCAACACCACAGATAAAGTATAGATAGAATAGATCACAGATATGCGGGTCTAGTCAAAACGCACTTTAAAATCGCAAACCCATCGCAAACCAGTCGCAAACAAATAAACAAATCGCAAAAGAGGTCGATAACAAAAAAGGCTTAGTCAAACGGCAAAAAATCGAATCGCAAAGCCCTACCTATCGATAATCGAAAGACTGGTTTGAAATTTCCCATACAAAGGCTTAGCCAACATGCATTTAAGACTCAATCAAAATCGAATCGAATCGCAACACCCGCCATTTTCATTGCGATTACTAAAACCCCGGTGATAAGCTTGGATTCGATCGAAAACCAATAGGGTGAGTTGCACCACCTAACTTTAAACGTAACTATGACGTTAACCGGTGTTTTTTGTATGGAGTTTGACAGATTTTAGACGTTTGTCAAAGTTAAACTAAGATGGTGCAACCCACCCTAAGGCTGTTTTGACAAATCCGTATCGCGATGTCGTTTTGACAGCTAGTTTGACAGCGAAGCATAGACGTAAACAGAGAGCAGAAAGAAGTAAGAAACTAATTTAAAAAAAAAAAGCTAGAAAAAGTAAAAACAATCGCAAAGTCATAGACATTTTTTAACTTTTATTCGATTTTGAATGAACTTTTATATCGCCGCGTCGTTGGTGGTTCAATGTGCATTTTGGCTGCCATTTTCCGATCGAATCGAATCACTGGTGACGCGGCGACTGACATTAGTGAAAACTTCACATTGGTTTGCGATGGCATTTTGACTAGACCCACTGTGGTTTTGACTAGACCCACTGACAGCGTATGTCATCACAAACCAACGAGCTATCATGGAGTCGCTCTATTATTATAAAATTATTAATAATTTTCAATTTATCATATTATTTACCGTAACATTAATATTAAGGACAAAATTTCTCTAACTTAAAATTTTTTTTTTTACTTACAAAAAACTTAAAATAACTTAATTACTAAATTATAACAAATACTAGCGGCCGCCCGCGACTTCGTACGCGTGGATCCCGTTTTACCTCCTTCATCTATCTTACGCGGTTTAGATTTTTTCATACAAATGTTTGTTCCCGCTAACTCCCGTTCCCGTAGGAATTTTGCAATATCCTGTTGCACCTAAGCTTTAAGTTTACTAAGGTACCTGCATACCAAATTTCAAGCGTCTAACTTAAGCGGTTTAAATTTTTCATACAAAAGGATTTTCCCGATAATTCCCGTTCCCGTGGGAATTTCGGGAATTCCTTTCTTAGTGCACTTCTACAGTACCTAAGCTACGTCCCTGCCAAATTTCAAGTGCCTACGTTTAGCCGTTTAGGCTGTGCGTTGATCTGTCAGTCAGTCAGTCAGTTTCTCCTTTTATATATTTAGATGATGTGTTATTTACAAACTAAAAAATATATAGGTATGTAAATGTGATAAAAAATGTGAAAATTATGAATTATCGCCGGTTATTATTAATAATTACCTCATGATTTGGTAAATATGATTAATAAGAAATCATTTATGTACCTATGTATAAAACTAAATAGGCGACACGTAAGCGCGAAAAGCGCGGACAGAAGTTTGCACGAAAAGGCACTTGCGCGAGAGCCACGACGAGACGCGAACGCGACCGACGGCATTTGCACGTTAATTAGGGTTTAAGTCTGCCTTAACAGTTATCTTAACTCTGTCTTAGTAATTTCCTAAGGAATGTGCCCTTTTATACTTACCATTGTCGTGGGGGTCGTAGGGGTTAATATCTTCAAGGATCTTGATTGCGGCTGGAATTAGTCTACTAGTCTTCAAGATATATCTTCAATGCCTTTGTATGAGAATCTGTTGCTACCTACTTGGGAAGTGTCGAGGATCCGTGAAATGAATTTCATCACACACCGGATCAACATTTTACACCTTGGGTGTGGCGTGTGCAAATGGTCAGGGTGTAAATGATTTTAATAAAAATATAATTTAAAAATCTATTTAGATTGAATAACTTTTGCGTCGCTTCAAACTTTAAAATATTACACAAATTGATTCAATAGCTTATGTAATTTGTACAACGTTAAAGTAGATAGATAGGTAGTTAGGTAGGTACATAAATATAAAACTTAACACTAATGACAGCACAAATGCATTTAGAGACAGCTTACATCGGCATCGTGAGCTTAAATAATATATTTAGTCTTTTACTCAATTCTTATTCTACTAGTCTACATCATTAT